TAGCCAACCCGGGAAGAACCAGCAGCAAACCCGCAGTGCGCCGGCCACGGCGGCCATTGGAGTGTGAACCAACGGCAAAGGAAGACCTTTCTCTCTGTCTCTCTCTCTCACTGTCCACTCTGCCTGTAAAAAAAAAATAATAATAATAACCTTAATCTGCAACAACTTATGACTCAATCCAAAAGAAGAATATCCATTGGCCAATGCTGTCGTGTAGTAGGCTAAGCCTCTGCCTGATGTACCAGCATCTCATATGGGCACTGGTTTGTGTCCCAGCTGTGATCCAGCTCCCTGCTGGTGGCCTGGGAAAGCAGTGGAAAATGGCCCAAGTGCTTGGGTCTTGCACCCTCCTGGGAGACCCAGAAGAAGCTACTGGCTCCTGGCTTCGGATTGGCCCAGCTCTGGCCATTGTGGCCATTTTGGGAGTGAACCAGTGGATAGGAGACCTTTCTCTCTGTCTCTCTCTCTGTTTGTAACTCTACTTCTCAAGTAAATAAAATCTTTAAAAAAGAAGAATATCCAAAATATCCCAACAAAAAGAACTGATAAATGTTTGAGAACATGAAGGAGCCATCACTCAGATATCCTCATTACATGTTTCATATATGTATGAGGTTACTGTACCATTCATTATGTGTCCAAACATTGAGTGTCAATTACCTAGGAGAGAACACTGTTTATATGCTACTTGAAGAAATTCCAGAACAAGAAAATTAACGTGAAGTGACCTAAAAGAAAGGCAACTCATAACTGGCAAGCAGATGGAAGGAAGGGATGTGTGGAGGATTACAGAAGACCATGGAACACATTAGTATAAAAATTAGCTCATCACTTTTGACTGTGATTGTGCAGTGAGCAGGGATGTTAACGCTTACAAGACATACACTGGTTTGTATATTGTAGTTCAGTCAGAATGTGAATAAATTCAAAGTGAATAAATGGAGGAAGAATGATAGCTAACATCACATACAATAGGAAATGCTCATCAAGATTCACCATCAAGAACCTGGTTCTCTAAACTTTGTTCAAGTAGAACCAGAAATGCAGCAAAGGCACACCCATTGTCTCACATGAAGTTCTGCAAACACACTCAGAGCACCCAAGTCTGTCCTGGAGATCGTACAGGGAGCAGATTGGTCTTATGGGGAGGAACACAGATCTACATTTTGGAGATGTCTCTTACCAGACAAGAGCTCCTGGACACACAACATGGCCTAGTAATGATTCCTTTAGTAATTGTGTGTATGTTCAAAGGAGTTAGCATTCATGCTAAAATCATATGTCGTGTACTAGTGAAAAAGCATTATAAGGGTCAAGTGGTGTTGCACCGTGAGTTCAGGCATTACTGGGATCCCCAAATCCCATATCACAGAGGGCTGCTTCCTCCACTCCAAATCCTGTTTCCTCCTTATGTACTAGGAAAGGCAGTGGATGCTGGCCCAAGTGCATGGACCCATAGCACCCATGTGAACAACCTGAGGGGAGTTCTGGGCTGCTGGCCGTGGCCTGGCCTGGTGCTAGTCGTTGAGGTTATGTGAAGGGCAAATCAGCGGCTGGAAGTTCTTCCTCCCTCTCTCATTGTCTATGTACTATGCCCTTAAAAATATAATTATTTATATTCTTAGATTCAATGATCTTTAACATTTAGCCATTTCACTTCCTGGGTAGGTATTATATACATACACATCCTCTCACCTAGTGGGATTCATGACAATGGTCAGACAGGAAAGAAGAGCACACTGTCATGCAGATGGTTTGATTCAGTGAAGACAGCATTTACAACTGTGTATATAGCAACTAAAACACACAGCTCCGTGCCAGCGCTCACTCAGCCTGGCACCCGCAGCCCCCCTGCCCGCACTTACTTGGCCTGCGACCTAAGTACCACGTGGGGAAACACAGGCCCTGTTCCCGCGCTCTCTCAGCCTGGAACCCAGTGTGCACTGCACGTGTGCCCGCGCTCACGCGGGAAACTCAGCCCCGATGCCCACGCTCACTCGGCCTGCCACCAGCAGCCCCATGCAGGACACACAGGCCCCGTACCCGTGCTCACTCGGCCTGGCACCCGCAGACCCACGCGGGGCACACAACCCACTGTGCCCGTGTTCACACGGCCTGGCAACCACAGCCCTTCACAGGACACACAGGACCCGCCCCCCACGCGGGACACATAGCGCCTGGGAAGCGGAGTATCCGCGGGACCGCGCCGGCCCCTATGCGCCTGCACTAACCAGGATAAGTGGCGGAGTCTCTCGGAGCTTGGAGGCTAGAGGGTGGCTAGCGGAGCCGAGAATCAAGAGAGGATAGTCCGAATATACCGCTTTCTGCTTATGGACCACAGTTCCCACAAGAGAGCAGCTTCGATTATCCTCACGGGCTCCTCAACCAGGCCCCTTCCGGGCTCTGGCCCTGGCAGCGCGGAGGAGCACGGGATTGACGCCTTCCCCTGGCCCTGGCAGCGCGCGGAGGAGCACGGGATTGACGCCTTCCCCTGGCCCTGGCAGTGCGCGGAGGAGTACGGGATTGAAGCCTTTCCCCCGCGCCTGCGCAGTCGCCATCAAGAAGGCGGGCTCCAGAATCCGCTTAGCTGAGGACCACTGCAGTCTCTTGGCTCGGCAGAGGCCGATGCCTTTCAGGGCAAAGGCGCCTTGGACTGGCCAGGGCTGGGGAAAGCGGGCCTGGGATTTTAGACTGAGTTTCCCGCAAGCTTGTGAGGCCAGGGGTGGCTTTGCGGGTGCAGCCTGGCAGGCAACCCTAGATCCCGAGGCTCCGCACCCCCCTGTCTCATCTGCGTCACCTTTAGGACCCGCTGTAGACGAAGGATCCAGAGGGAAAGCAGAAGTGGCATCCTACAATGAAAGCCCTCGCAGCTAGGTTAGCTTAAAATTAATATCCTGGTGTAGGTCAGTTCACAATAGCTAAACTATGGAATTAATCTGGCAACTGAAGATTGGATAAGGAAATAATTGGATATATACACCTGGAATACCACACAGCAGTAAAAAAAAAAAAAAAAGAAATCCTGTGATTTGCAACAAAATGGATGAAACTAGAAAACATCATACTCGTGAAATAAGCCAGTCTCAAAGGGGCAAATACCACATGTTCTCCCTGATCTGTGATAACTAATAGAGCACCTAAAAGAATCTGTAGAGGTGAAACTGACACTTGGAGAAGCAATCAGCTGAACAGCATTGTCTCCACTGTTGAGGAACTTTTTTTTTTATTATTTCATATAATTTGTTGAACTCTTAACAAAGTTAATCATATGTATTCAAAGTTAATTGACAATAGATCTTAGTAAAAAAAAAAATAAGAATGGGAATAGGAGTGGGAGGAGCAAGAGAGGTGGGAGTGTGTGTGGAAGGAATTGCCATGTTCCTAAAGTTGAATTTATGAAATGCGTGAAGTTTATATGCCTTAAATAAAAGGTTTCTCTGGGAAAAAACAAGTAGAAGACTACAAAAAAAAAAAAGTGCCAGTGGCCATTTGTACTTGAAACGATTTAAAAAAATTAGTAGATTGAGGTTTTATTTTTTAGTTAGAAAGTCCTAAGCACAGGCTCAAACACTGCGTGCAGTATGGTAAGGTTTAAGTTTATTTAGAAAGTGGGAGGAACGCAAGAGACATGAGGGCGTTATTCAGGGAGAGCAGACCAGAAAGGGTAGTCGGGGAGCTCCATAGCCATGGTTGCAGGGGTCGACGCAGGGTCCTCGACTGCTCTTTCCCCATTTTCCTCCCCTATCTTTACTGTTGTCCCTAGTGGGATTCAAGATGCAGTCAGAAGTAACGCTGCAGGGATTAACATGATCAGCTACTGATCACAAGCATTCCAAAGGTAAATTAATACAGACATATAGAATGTAGAGAAGCAACCCAGTTCTGTCTTGTCTAGCTGGATTTGAAAAGCTTTTGAGGCCACAGGGCCTTCCGTACCATGAAAATCTCAAATAAAATAAATATATGTATATTAGTTATTTTTATTTATTAGAAAGGTAGGCACAGAGAGCGAGATCTTCCATTCTCTGTTTAACTCCCTCAAATGGCCGCAATGATCAGAACCGGGCCAGTCTGAAGCCAGGAGCCCACAACTCCACCTTGTCCTCCCACGTGGCTGGCAGGGACCCAGGTAATTGAGCCAGTTTATGCTACTTCCCAGGATATTATCAGGCAGCTGGCTCAGAAGCAGAACAGCTAGGACTTGAATCAGCACTCTTCACAGGGGATGCCAGCATTGTAGGTGGTGGCTTAACACACTGTGCCACAACACCAGCTCCAAAATGATGTATACTTAAGGTGTTCTCAAACCCAGAGAACCCGAGGTTCTATTTCTCTTTTTCTCAACACTATTTAATCAAGTAAGTACTCAATAACTTTTGTCTTCTGATGTTCAAACATAGCATGGTTATTTTCAAAATGGGGGCTATAAACTTCAGTGCTAGCAGAAAATATGTAGATGAGGATATTTCAAAATGGTTTGTGGCAAATGGAAATAAGTTTTTTGTGGCAAAATCTTTTTGAAAATCAAAGATACAAGCGGTCTTCAAACAGTTATGACAAATGCAAATAATGAAAAACCATACAAGGATTAAAAAAAATTTTTGCCCCAGAATAAACTAACCTTTTATTTCCATTTCCATGATAATTGTGAAGTACCCTTATATACACATTTTGCTTCTAAGCCAGACTAATCCAGCATCAAGCTTTAAGAAGAAAATACCATTTCCAAAATTACAATGCTCCAGCATACTTTTGATGTTCATGACCCCTATACCTTCTGAAGTCCCACAGAGTATATAATTGCTTTATAAATTGATCTCCTGCAGATTAAGAAATTTTAAGAGATCTGCCATATTGTGTGTGAGGGGAGTGGCATGGGGAGTTATTAAGAGTTATCCTGGTATATATAGGAATTAAGGTAGTAAAATGTCTTTCTTGTAGATATTTAGAGATGGGAGTCTTACACAAACAAAACACAGTTCAATATTACATGCAAAAAATATAATCAGTTTTAAACCAGATGTTCTGTAGCACTGGCCTTCCAAGAAAATGTGAGGCCATATTAGGAATCCCAAGGAGCCCTCTATTCTTCTGTTGGTTCTTTGTTTCTGAAATACAAATACATCCTAATTCTAATGATGTGAAGAGCTTTTATTGCTTTTCTGGGGATGGATTTTACTAGGGAGCAAGAGAAGAGAAAGCATTTTTATCAGGGGAAAGAATGGTAATAGACAAGACCTTAATGGTACATGACCCATTGAAAATGTTTAGGGCCACTCTCAAGTCAATGAAGCAATGATTCATTCATCTAAAAGTGGAAGATGTTCTGAGACGGGGGAGGGTGGTGTTCTGGTATAGTATTTGACCAAAATATAAAGCAATGGTGTCTTAGGTCCATCTGGGGGATACCTGCTGAAAGTAAGTTATTAAGTTATTTTGGAAATAACAGCAGTTGGATCTATATTCTATTCAAATCCCTTAAGTACACATTACAATTTTACATGAGAGATAGCTAACAACACTAGAATGATATTGTAGTGTAAGAGGCAAATATTAAATCCTTATATGTCTTTTTTATTTTGGAAATAAAACATTAGCAGGAGATCAGTTACTAAGTGGAAGATATTATGCAAATATCAACATCTAATATTTATTTTCTTTTTAAAACTTAACATACCTGTATATCCAACACGACAAGAACACCCATTAGGAAATACACATCTGCCTCCATGAAGACACTTTTGATTGCAAATTGCTGTAATACATGAATCTTTACAATTAGCATCTTCTTTTTTTTATTTAAAGATTTATTTATTTGAAAGACAGAGTTAGAGAGAGAGAGAGAGAGAGAGAGAGAGAGAGAGAGAAAGAGAGAGAGAGGTCTTCCATCTGCTGATTCACTACCCAGATGGCCACAAAGGCTGGAGCTGCACTGATCCAAAGCCAGGAACCAGGAGCTTCCCCCACATCTCCCATGCAGGTGCAGAGCCGTCTTCTACTTCTTTCCCAGGCCATAGCATAGAGCCTGATCGGAAGTGGAGCAGCTGGGACTGGAACCCGTACCCATATGGGATGCCTGCACTGCAGGTGGTGGCTTTACCAAATACACCACAGCACTAGCCCCTCAATTACCATCCTTTGACAGGGAATACCTTGACATATCCTGTTGCAGTGATCTGAATCTACTTAGGATTGGATTACTAATATCATCCTAAGAATCTATTACATTATATGAGAAAGACTTGCATCAAATTATGACAATTGATCCCATACATAGGCATTATTTTTATGTGGCAATTAAAAAATAAATTAGGAGCTGGTGTTATACAGCATGTTAAGCCACCACTTACAATGCCAGCATCTAATATAAGCACAGGTTCTAGTCCTGGCTCCTCTACTTCCAATCCAGCTCCCTGCTAATGTGCCTTGGAAAAGAACCAAAGATGGCCTGAATACTTGGGCCCTTGCCACCCATATGTGAGACCCAGATGAAGTCCAAGCTTCTGGCTTTGGTGTACCCCAATCCAAGTCTTTCCCTCTCTTTCTGTAAATCTGCCTTTTAAATAAATAAATCTTAAAAAATATAAAGTTAAATAAATGATTACTGACCACAATGAAAAGGAAAATAATATAAACCACATATATAATTTAAAATTTTTCTAAATTATTAAAGCAGTAAAACAAGTAAAAAAATCTATTAGTCAGTGATCTATGGATGGATCTAATCTAAGCACTCTCATCTTTAAGAACACACATATACACACACCACAGAAACTGAAACACCCAAATTCAAACATCATTTTTTTAAAATTCCACAAAGATGGGGCCGGTGCTGTGGCACAGTGGGTTAATCCTCCACCTGCAGTGCCAGCATCACATATGGGTGCCTGTTCTAGTCCCGGCTGCTCCACTTCCAATACAGCTCTCTGCTATGGCCTGGGAAAGCAGTGGAAGATGGACCAATTCCTTGGGCCTCTGCACCCACGTGGGAGACCCAGAAGAAACTCCTGGCTCCTGGCTTCAGATCGGTGCAGCTCCAGCTGCTGTGGCCAATTGGGGAGTGAACCAGCGGATGGAAGACCTCTCTCTCTCTCTCACTCTCACTCTCTCTCTCTCTCTCTCTCTCTCTGCCTCTCCTCTCTCTCTGTGTAACTCTTTCAAATAAGTAAATCATCTTTAAAAAAAAAAAAGAAAAAATCCACAAAGATACGATTAAAGGAAAACAATTTCACTGATTATGTTCTATATTTTAAACATTTGAAGTCTTTTTTGAGAGAAGTTCAAATCAGTAACAGAAGGTAACATTTATAATTTCCTTTTTAATAACTTAGCAAAAATTATAAAAAGACATTTCAGTAGTGGCTAGCATATGGAGAAACACACTATTTTAGACTACCATTGGAAGTTGAACATGAATCAGCTCTACTGAAAAGCTTCCTGAAGATTTTCACACTGTCTGTACTAGAAGTCTCTTCCTTGAAATGCCTCCCCAGGCAATGAGAACATAACCGTATTTCAGTCTCCCTATGTCTCAGCTGCATATCTTGTTATCAGCTGTTTCTACAGAGAAAATGCTTATACTATTTATAACAACTTCTAAGTAAATAAAATGTTCAACCTGAGAGAAAAGATCAAGGGAATTCCAGCATTTATATTAAGAAACTTAACATAGCAGTTAAAATTATATCTTTTAAAGATACGATCTATCCTGGTAAGGAATGTTGAGTGAGAATGAGCACACTATAAAGTTATATACAAGTTATTTTCATGGAAGAGGTACTGCTCCAGTATCTCAATACTGAAAGCTTGCACAGTTCCCTTTGATACAGCTGTAATACTGATGGGTATGTTTTCACCAGGGTGGCTGTACAGAGTTGGGCAGGTTGATTAAGGCACAAGGGCTCCATTGCTAAGGAAGCACCATTCACATCACAGACCTCACAGACTTGAGTGTTTATTACAACAAGCTTCCAGTAGATGGCAGTAACACATTTTGTTTGAACAATACCAAAATTCTAGTTTCTAATTCACAAAAGGTGCGTCAGTGTGCATAGCTTCAGACTGTGCCAAAGAACTTCAGTCGGCAGCCAGTGGACCATATCTGTACATTCATCGTTCTCTCTCGTGTCCACACAGCCTCTCTCCAGGAGGAGCAGCCCATGTTGGGGTTGGCAGCTCTTTTTCTGCAACATTTTATCAGATCTAACATCCAATGAGAATTATCAATGTTTGAAAACTAATACTTAACATATAGCACTTTGCTATATTTTTTCCTAGCAGAGGAGTTATAATTATAAATCATAATAGTAATTACTAATACAATAAGGTCTAAGAGTCATGGAAATTATATCCAAGAGTTCTGATGTGTGGGAACAACCATGAGGTTCATGAGACACTGAGGAGGTACTGACTTCCAGGGAAAAGGCATGGTCACGCTGCAACTGTGTCATTTCAGCTTACAACTTACTTGTTTACCAGTTTGGAAATGACATAATTATTACTCGTTTGAAAATATTTTAGGTATTTCTAATTTTTCCCATGATATTAATTTTTAATTATAACTTTATTTCATGTACTCATATATTTAAAACTGCATATTATTCAATTTTCTTCTGTATCCTTAAGATTTCTTTTCTGCAGAAATGTATGACTAAAACTGTATAAAAACAAGTTAAATGAACAAAAAAGTAGGAGAAATGAACCCAGGTGATGAATTTGAAGTAATTTTATATGCTTTTTTGTGTTTTCTAAGATTTCCAATATGTACACAGTGTACTTATCATATACTGTGAAGAAATATTTAACTTAATTTCTGTATATTAAAATAATTTGGGGCAAGCCGAAGCCAGGAGCTTCCTCCAGCTCTCCCACATGGGTGACGGGGGCACAAGCACTTGGGCCATCCTCTGCTGCTTTCCTAGGCACATTAGCAGGAAGCTGCATCGAAAGTGGATCGCCAGGATATGAACTGGCACCCATGTGGGATGCAGGTGCTGCAGGTGGTGGCTTAAACCGTTGCTCAAAAAATTTGGGGGGTGGGCATCTGAGAGAACTTTGCTGCCAACAGAGCATAGTTTGAAGTTACCCACATCTCACAGATATTAATATTGCCATGCTTTTTATGGAATAGGCATAAAATTGGACAAGTTTTCATTTCTAAAGCCATGTCTTTTAAGGTTAAGCATGTTGGATTTTCTAACACTGTAGTTTAACTATTATAGCAGGTTCCTGCTGAGATTGGATAGTAGAATAGAAGTCCTGTGGCTTACGTATTTGACACTGCACTCCTTCCCAAGCAGGGGACAGTGGCAGATGCCAGGAGCAATGCATTCACCACCATTTTTACATTTCTGAAAGCAGACAGCTGCAAGTAGAAACCAAGACAAGTTAAAATGCTCAATCACTAGACAAATCCTATCAGAAACCACAATGTCGCTCCCCCTCTTCGCGGAGGAACGACACTAAACCCTGCCTAGGTTTCCTATCCGAGTCACGGCACCATTATGTCGCTCCCCCTCTTCATGGAGGAACGACACAGGACCCTGCGCTGTTCTTTTGTCTGCTCGGCCCTCCCCGGGTTTGCTGCTGGTTCTTCCCGGGTTGGCTACCGACCCTTCCACCTCCGTGGAAGGGCGGTTCCCCCTGCCACTTTCCCCATTTCCGCGGGGGAGCGGCACACCGCCGGCCGGCTCTCTCGGGGGCTGCTCAGGTGTTCCTTCAGGTGTTCCTGGTGCATGTTGTCTCTCTCCTCCTTTATAGTCCTCTTCCACTAATCCCAACTCTGCTACCCACACGCCGAGTACGCTGCTCTCCTCCAATCAGGAGCAGGTCCTGCTGTTTATTGGTTGAACTGGAGGCAGCTGTGTAGAAGCTGTTTACTCCTCTCCCAGCGCCATATTGTGGGAGAGCAGATGCATAGAATAAGTCTTAATTCCAGTAACTTAGTCTAGTCCGAGTTGCTCCCCACACCACAACATTTTGGATTAACGAGAAAAAAACCATAGTGAGAGGTCAATGTTTACGGGACCTCAGTCCCTTAACATTTTATCAAGAACATTTTTCAGTGTCACTATGTACTCTAAGGAAAATGTCATTTCCTTGTTTGTATTATGTCCCCTTGTGCATCGTGACTTAATGTTTCCCAACTGTTGGACATTTGCACTGCTTATCATTTTCTACTTTGATCAATACATGATAGCAGATGCTAAGCTTCAATCACAGTTTTATAGAAAGGGAAAAATGAAACATTTCAGTGAAGGAAGACACCATCAACTCAGAAACTTCACAGAATAAAGGCTCTCCTCCGCGGAAAGGCTGAACAGGTTGGTTTGAGATGGGGCCGAGGAATCAGTCATTTTTTAACACCCTCCTGTCCAACCGACTTCAAATTAGGAGCCCGAGATTTAAGGCCGTGTTATTCATCCCGGCAAGTGTGGCTGAAGGCCTGCAGAATACAATATGCCCTCTTCCTCTGCTAACCCAGAATAAGCTCTGGAGAATCTGCCTTTTTCACCTATTGGGAAAAGATATCTACTAAAGCAGGAGAAAATAAGCAAAAATAAAAGCAAACACAAGTAAAGAAGAAGGGAAGCACTGTTCATTTGGGGTTCTGCCGTGTGCCCGTGACGGGGCTGGCGGGAGGAGCACTGTAACAACATTCTGCTTGCATGTGTTGCATTGCTTCCCACTCCAGCCAGAAGCATAAGAGCAGATGTTTGGTTGCACACACTTTCCTCCGTTCACACACATAGGATCACAGATGCCTGAGGCAAAGCAGGGAACGTCCGCCCTCACACAGCAATGGTGTTTCGTTTTGCTTTACCTGCAGTGGGCAAATAACATTCAGGGGTGTCTTACTTTTTTGGCATCTCCTGCCAGTGTAGCCTTCCCGACAGACGCACACATTATTTCTCACACAGTGACCACCATTCTTACAGGAAGGGTGACAGAGAGCTGAGAGAACACAAGGCAGCAATCTGTGATCATTACAAGGTCCATGGTTATATATCACGGATTACATCAAGTGCTCATTATCTATGGGTCCATAAAGCAGAGGAATGTGCTATCAAAATAAAAGATCACAACTGCAGGTCATTTAAACTGTCCTTTCTAAATCCTACAATGCAGGGCTTGTAGCTTGAAGCTGCTAGTGGATTAGCACACCTTGAAATGTCTTGACGTAATGATCATAGCAAATAGAGGCTCTGGTATTACTAGCGCACATGTTATACACCTTAACTTATGCTTCACCATATGAGGAAATAAAGTGTGAAATGACATGGACAAAACCAAGAAAATAAGTCAAAAGCTAGCTCAAAATGAGAATATATCTTTTTGTAGAAGTCAGAAAAATCTCAGTAGTTTGTCACGGTATTCAGAAAGTATGTATAAAAGTATAAGATAATGTTTGAATACCTACTGAGGTCATGAAGGCGCAGTTTTATAAGTGACATTCCTATGAAGCTTGGTCACAATCTTATTTTAAACAATGGTTAGTTGTAGGGTCAATTTTTAAAAAATTTATTTGAAGGGTAGAACAGGGGAGGAGAAGGACAAGGAGGAGGGGAGGAGAGGCCTAGTTTCACTCAACTGTGTTTGATTTGCACCGTGAGGTATGATCCACCTGGGTTCCTTCCTGGGTTTTACGTTCCATGCAGACAACTGCAGTGAGGGGTCCTACAAAAGTTCATGGACAAGTGCCAATGTTGTGAGCCTAACATATGTGGAACAAGTATACCTGTTTCACATTATCACTCTGATACACTGTATGAACAGGTCATTTGGTGGCCATACCTGCAACATCCTGAGAAACAGGAAATAAAGCACATCTTCTCCTTTAAAATTGTCTCATGTCTACTCAGAGCCCTGTTGCTGTCCAACTAACTTGCCATTTGTCTTTTATTTCCACTTATAAACAATGATTACCATTCTGACATCGTACACCGAAGAATCCATTTGGACAAAGGCAAGTGTTTGGCTTATTACAGGAACCTCCGTTGAGACAATGGTGTCACACAAAGCTAATGAACAGCAGGAGAGAAGGAGACCACAAAGTTTTATTATTTAAAAAATGAAAGCTGTACAGAAGTACAAAATTATATATAATAAAATATTTTATTTTTACTGCAAGGAAAACCCATAACCTATAATGAATTAGAATTTGCCAAAAGTAAGAATGAAATAACTAGATAATTGCTTTGGAAGTGTGTTCATTAAGTTTACAAATAATATTAAGCTAAGAATGTGGAGACTATTATTAGAGTTCAAAATACCCTAAGTAAGTAAAAAAAAAAATTTACTGTAGGTTAAGAGGAGACAAATGCAACAGCACCATCAGGACCGTTTGTAATTTACTCAAATCCGAATAGCCATGCACACCTTTCTGTCTCCTACCAATTAAAACAGGAACATTGCACTCAAGTCCTAGCATACTCAAATCCGTGTCTATCTTTACTTCTTCACTTTTAGTTTGCTTTGAAAGGTACCTCAAATTCCATTTTTCAACCCAGATTTTACCTGTTCTCCAAGGTCTAACTACAAATATTTTCTCCCAGACTCTACTTGCCAGAATTAATTTCTTTCTACTTCTAAGGAACTGTGCATCAATGACATTATTTATCATAACCCAACATGTGTAATAAATAGTCTTTCTTATAGTTGCATCCTGTGTCTCCTTCAATAACAGTATGCTCAGTGAAGTCAGGGCAAACGTTTTGATCTGTTTCACTTTGCATCATGCGTCACACATGGTTGGCGAACTGTAAACACTGGATTACATTTTCATTGAGAAAAGCCATTAAAACACAGTGGCTACGTCAAACACAGGTAACTGGAACTATTGCTGTCAACGCAGCAAGGCTGACACTGTGATAAATATATAGCACAACATGATGGGTGCATGCTTACCTTGGAATTGCTTAGCTGTCTAATGAAACAGAATGTCTGTGTTGCAACAAAAAAAAGTGAGAGAAACCAAGAAAAAGCAACACAGATATTTTTTTTCTACACTACAAGGTAGAAGAATGAGGAAACTACAAAGGCAAAAAAGTATTGGTTGGGCAGAATAACAGTAAAACTAAGATATTGGGTGCTTCTATATAGGAAGAAAAAGATGATGGAAAATGTAAAACTAAGTCTGAAATGACAACTTCATACCTGTCTTATCCGATCAGTTTTATATTTTTATGTGTAAGTGTTTAGCATATTAGCAGAATTTCTTTTCTTAATGTACTCATTGAAGATAATTCTGGGTTTACCTGTACTACAGATTGGTCCATTCCAGCCAGGCTTGCACTGGCAAACATCTGGTGTAAGACATTCACCTCCATTTTCACAGTGCCTGTTACAGATCACTACGATCATGGGACAAAAATAAAACAAAAGTAAATCAGGATTTGAATGGTCATACTGTTGATTACTTAGCTTGCTCATAATTGCCAATCACATATGCTAATGAATGAGATTAGAAAGACAAAATACACTTTGGCTGTAAATACTATCAAATTCTTACATACAGTTATTTTCTTGTTAATAGAGATGAGAGAAGTAGAAAACTATTGAGCTGAGTGGTAAACAAGAGTTGGCTATTAGGGGAAATTACTAGTTACTGATGAAAGTAACCAGACATCAATTAAATGAGATTACATACACATACAATTAATAAATCTGGATTCATCTTATCTCAAAGAAAGGGTCATGGATACAGTCAAGAGGAGAGTTACATCCGAGGCTAACTCCTTTATCTTAGTGATGGTTACCCACAGTTGCCTCCAGTACTACCCAAGATGGTAACCATCATCACAGACCATGAATGTGTGTTCTTTAGTTAGGCTGTTGGGTTCATTTCATTAAGTGTTACAGCCATCAACTATTCAAAGGAGTAAATTCATTGTTGGAAGACAGCTTTGCTTACTTGTTTCACACCTTGGTCCAACAAAACCATAAGCACAGGTGCAGAGATTGCTGGCCAGGCACGTGCTGCCGTGTTGACAAGGTGGGTGACAATGTTCTGCAGACACACGTTATCAAGTCAGCTCTTACTTTCACAAGTCAGTTTATGTTTATGAAGCACAGCCAGAATAACACCTTGTTGTACAAGCAAATTAATGATGAGCTCAGTTCTCTTTATCCAATTTAGTTATTGTAACACAATCACAAATGTAGTATTGACACAATCACAAAACACTCATAGCATGTTTTGGGTTGCCAAAGCCTTTATTCACTGGATATAAGCTTTGGGTTATAAAAAGTTTTGGCTAACCAAATACTTAACCCTAGACACCTTCTAAAAAGTGAGACTTATGGTATTTCTGCCCTACAAACATAACATTTCTATACTTCTATGTTTCAATTTTCATGTTACTGATATTGAATGCTAGTTCACCCTAAATTTACTTTACTTTGTTAACTTGTAGCTGGCCTTGTCATGAATGCATTGAACCTAGCTATCAGTTTGCTCATAATTATAGGTACCATCTACAAAATATATTACTTTATGACATTATTTTCAAAATAAGCAACAGCCCTTTCTGCCATGGACCTGGCTTAGCAGTACCACTCTCATTTCCCTCTCTTTCTGCCATAGACCTCTCTTAGAGGTCGTGCTCCCGCTGTCTCTCTCTCCACCCCAGAAAGCCCTTGGTTGCCCTGTGCGTGCTCTTCCGCCAGGGACGACTCTTGGACAGACCTCTCCCACTCTCCTGCTACCCCGCTTGCACACAGACCTTCCTAATTATTGGTATTTTTTCAATGTTTTTTCCTCTCTAGTTTACAGGCAATTCTTTGGCCCACTCACATTGAGTATTTCTATTTTTAGGAATGCCATTTGACAAATTCTCCACTTAAGATTTCAGCAAAAGCAATGTAATTATCCCAATACAGATATGTTTTTCAACATGACATTTTAGGTTTACCTTATACCTTCTAACTATTTGACATTTATGCATCTTTTTCTTAAAGCTAAAATATTCACAAATAACTAAATATCAAATATCTAAATAAATATCAAAAAATGATCTCAAAAGATAATTATGCCAAAGACAACCCAATAGGTTATCTTTAGATGTCTGATTCTGAAAATTTAAGTTTTCAAAATTCTCAAATTATTTTTAAAAACTATTTAAAAATCTCAAACTCTTGTAATCAGTATTAACAAATATGTATCAGTATATACATAGAAAAATGAGTTATCTTTTAGAAAAAGGTTTTAAAACAACATTTCATTTTAGCTTTATTATTTGATTGTAAATCTGAATGATCACCTTTGTCTCAGGTTGGGCCACTGTGTCCTGGAGGACACTGACAGAGGTCAGGCTTGATACATTTTCCATGGTTCTTGCAGTCAGGGTGACACACAGCTGTATAAAACATCACTAGTGAAATAAAATTTAGTACGTAAAACCAAGGACTGACATACTCACCGGTCTGGCAGTTTAGACCCAGTGTACCCAGGCCTACATTTGCATACATTTGGGGCAACACACTCCCTGTTTTTTCCATATGGGTGTCTACAAATGGCTGCAGGAATCAAGGGGAAAAGGCTGTTGTTGATACCACAGATGCATCTTGCCTACAGACTAAGCTACAATAAAAGCAAGATGCTAAAAAATTTGAACATTTTGATTCTGCTATTAAACAACTACTACATTACTCATATAATTTTTTCCTTTAAATTTGTCTTACCATTAGAATGACTGAAGGAAATGATTAATAGAGTAAGATACATCTATAAACACACACACACACAGAGCCTACAAAAAGTTCATGGAAAATTCACTTTTAAATACATATTTCATTTCTCTAGAGCTGATTTTATTTAATTTTTGTATTTGAAAGGCAGAAAAACAGTAATAGAAAGACTGACAGACAGATCTATCCTTTGGTTCATTCCCCAAATCCCCACAACAGCTGGGCTAGGTCAGGCTGAAGCCAAGAGTTGGAAACTCAGTCTCCGACGTGAGAGTCTGGACCCAAGCAGCTGAGCCACGGCCTGCTGCTTCCCCAGCGTGAGCAACAGCAGGAAGCTGGAACTGGAAGCAGGGTAGAACCTGAACACAGCACTCGGAGGCTAACGCTTTTGAAGCCCCCTCACCTACTCACACACAAATACACATATAAGTATACGCTGTATGTGAATCCACACACACACACACACACACACACACACGCACACACACAGGAAGTAATTACTCCACAGCAGAACGTGATGTTGAAGGTAACACTTAACTACACATGGGCTTACAGTCTTTTTCAGATGACAATGAGGTTTTAGATACTACTCAGCTAAATCTTGGTACATGACAGGGACAAGCAGACTTTCAAAGAGCAAGATAACCTTCTTTCCCATGTTATGATCATTACCATGAATCCCTCACTTCATAATACTAATATCTCTATTTTCAAGAAAAATAGTATATATGTATATGATGTTTACATATGAAGTGAATGTAGTAAAATGGTAAAAATTATTAAATTTGAAAGATAAAAAAATTACAAAGAAAGAGCAAAATAAATGCCAGGAACACATCATATACTAACAGATTTGTATTCCTTAAGCTATACCTGATATATTCTCTTTGGTTTTTAATATTTCCCAGAGTAACTGAAATGCATGAGATCTATTTATTAATAATGAATTTTATATTATAAACATATGGGTGTTGAGGCTTACACAAAATTCCTCTAGGTAATACTGAAAACACAGGAATACTCTAAGAGCTCTTTTCCTTAACTCTGGTCTAAAATACACCAAAACAAGACAATAATAACAAAACATGACCAACAAAGGACACAGCTTCTCTGTCATCAAAGCCTAAAATCTGACTTACACCAGAGAAAATAGTGCTGATAATTGTAAAAAGATGAAAAAAAAATACTTTTAAAATTAAAGTAATGCACAACTTGTTTTAGTTGAGTTGGAGAAATTAGAGACACCTAGTTTATGAAAATAAGCAAGTATGCTGTAATTAGCAACTTGAAATGGTAAATGCCTGCTGTGGGCTGCAAAAACCCAGATCACAATGTCAATCAGATCTATCGTTGTATCGCTGTATCTCCTTAGATGCTTGGCTCCAGGAAAGACAGCTTCCAAAGCTCTACTTTCTCATTTATAAAATGGGAAAAATAGCACCCACTATGTGGGGTTCTTGGAGATCATGGACATGATTGATACAGAATGCTTCTACAGTAATTACTCAATATTTATAATATATATTACACAGGTTTACTACTGTATAATATTAAATGATTTTTTAAATCAGAAAACCTACTTTTTTCAAAATCTCATGTAAATAAACAGAAATAATAAATAGAAATAAATTAAGTAGAATAAAATTTGTCAGGAAAAAAGCATATCTTCTTAAATAGTTAAAAGAGCTTTCTTTGTATCTTATATTTTAAAATGTTCATTTATTTCCATTGAAAGGCAGTACAACAGGGACAGAGAAAGAACTCTTCTAACTGCTGGTTTACTCATCAAATGCCTACAACAGGCAGGGATGGGCTATGCCAAAACAGGAGCCGAGAATGCCATTCAGGACTCCTGTGTGGATGGCAAGGACCTAAGCACTTGAGCCATCATCTACAGCCTCCCAGGTATATGAGCAGGAAGCTAGGTTGGAAGCAGAGTAGCCTGGACTCAAACCATCATTCAGATATGGGATGTAGACATCTTAAGTGGTAGCTAAACACTCTGTGCCACACCACCCTCCCCTTTGTATCTTCTGAAGTTTTCATACTACCTCTACAGTGGATACCATTGCCATAATACCCAGAGGGGCAACGTCCAAATCTGACGTGGCCATCTGTGGCTGGCACACAGGAAACACCTGGGAAACAAGATGATTCAACAAAAGTTGATGCTTTGGTCGATCCAAACTTTACTGGCAAAATAGTGATTGTGTTAGGAACTGATGATGCAATCCCATCCTTTTTCTGTGTGTAACCTTGGGAAGAACTGTTAATTTGAGAAATAAACCCTCCTGTTTCTGTTTGGATGGAGTTTGGGATAATATCCTTTACTGCAACATGGGAGCTGTCTGATTAAAGAACTACCGTTGTCCAGAGAAACTCCTGACTCATGCAAACCAAGATCTGTCCTGAGTGCATGATCCACGTGTTCACAACTTGGTATCTGATGGGAAACAGCCTTCTCTGAATTATCCTCTTGAGTAGTAACTGATTTTGATGACAAGTGGTAGACGTTTGTGGTTGTATTCAAGAACCTGCTGGTAGTAGCAGGACTGTGGGTAAACCTTGTTCCAATAAATGAATGTTAGGTTGATGTTGGCTGAAAATCTTTATCTAAACAACCAAAAGAGAAATAGAAATGTAACTCAATAATATGTATTAATGTTCTGCTCTACACACAATACGATTTGACAATAAGGAACTGATTTTTTCATTAACTATTACATGTGTAAAACAATCCTACCGTGCACAAGGGAATAAGTCATGACATGGCTCCTGATATCAGGAATTTATAGGCTAGTTGGGTACACAAGATAACAGAATTTCAACTGGGGCCAGCATTGTGGTGGAGAAGGCAGGCTTATAAGCGCCCTCCTGGAATACTGGTATTCCATATGGATGATGATTCAAGTCCTAGCTGCATCACTTCTGATCCAGCTCCCTGCTAATGCACCTGGGAAAGCAGCGAAAGAAGGCCCAAGTGTTTGGACCCCCACACCTGTGTAGGAGACCTGGAAGAAACTCCTGGCTCCTGGATTCGACCTGATCCAGCCCTGGTAGTTACAGCTATTTGTGGAGTGAACCAGCAGATTGAAGATCTCTCTCTCCCTCTCCTTCCCCCTCCTTCTCTCTCTGTACAGCTACCTTTCAAATAAATAAATAAATCTTTTTTTAAAAAATGGAATTTCAATAGTATAAAAGTTGAAGAATAGTATTTTATTAAGAACCTGAAATAGCCAACAAATGCTTGTTCAACACTTAACACATATTAAATTCAAAGTAAAGTATGGCCTCTGTCCCTGAGAAATTCAGATAATTGTGTCAAAGACACGGACATGTGAGTTACTCATTTTAGTTGTCTGTGATAACTATTATAAGAGAGACTGCTATGGGATGAAATCTATATGGAAGAGGAAGTAATTTTGCTTGGAAAGAGGGCAATAGAAGCTAAATGCATAAATAAGAGCTGATAAATTATATAGGTGATATTTTGTATAAAAGCCAAAGAACTGCAGCTGTAATAATTTTTTAAAGAGTAATTTATTCGAAAGATAAAGTTACAGACAGATGGAGAGAGAGAGAGAGAGAGAGAGAGAGAGAGAGAGCCAGGTCTTCCATCCACTGATTCACTCCCCAAATGACTGCAATGGCCAGAGCTGAGCCGATCAGAAGCCAGGAGCCAGGAGCTTCTTCTGGGTTTCCCACATGGCTGCAGGGGCCCAAGGACTTGGACCATCCTCTGCTGCTTTCCCAGATGCATTAGCAAGGAGCTGGGTCGGAAGTGGAGCAGCAGGGACTCAAACTGGTACCCATATGGGATGCTGGTGCTACTTTGGTGGATTAAACTTTTCTGGCAAAATAGTGTCTGCATTAGTCCAAGATGTAATAATTTTACCAATGTGACAAAATAGGATTTCAAATCCTCATCTTTTTTGAGTCATCAACTCTAAATTAAAATATTTTTGTTATTTTTTAAAGAGGAAGTAATAATTTATTTATATCTTCCCAAAAATTCTTTTATAACTTTATTTATTTAGTATAGCATAACCTTAGAATTTTAACAGATTTTTTGAAGATATTAAGAAATAAAATGAGGGTTGGGCCGGCGCTGTGGCGCAGCAGGTTAACGCCCTGGCCTGAAGCGCCAGCATCCCATGTGGGCACCAGTTTGGATCCTGGTTGCTTCACTTCCAACCCAGCTCTCTGCTATGGCCTGGGAAAGCAGTAAAGGATGGCCCAAGTCCTTGGGCCTCTGCACCCATGTGGAAGACCCGAAAGAAGCTCCTGGCTCCCAGCTTTGGATCAGCGCAGATCTGGCCACTGCGGCCAACTGGGGAATGAACCAGTAAATGGAAGACCCCTCCATCCCTCCCTCCCTCTCTCTCTCTCTCTCTCTGACTCTCCTCTTGCTGTATAATTCTTTCAAATAAATAAATAAATCTTTATAAAAAAGAAATAAAATGAGGCACAATAAGAAAATAAAATGAGAAAATTTATAGTGTCTATTGCTAGTTTAGGATTTTATGTACTGTCTTCATGAATAGCTTTTCTCAAATCCCTTATAATATGAAAGCAGAGAAAACCAAACCATACCAAATTAGAAAGACAGAAAACAAACCAAAGACAGTAACAAAAATCATCCTTATCATTATTGGCAAAAAATGCAATGAAAGATTTTTGAATATGTTGAGGATTTCCTGAAACACAGAAACATATGAGCTCAGACCAATGGAGAAATAAGAGAGCACAAAATGCAGTTCAAAACAGAAGTAAGAGCGAACAGAGTTAAGCGTCAACAAATACAAAGAGCAAAAGAGTGCTGGCACATAGATCCTCCAACTCAAGGCCCTGCTTCGGGACATCTGGGACAAGCTGGTGGCCCCTCCCCCAAGCTTCTGAACCTTCAGGGACTGCTCCTTCCAGCCCCAACTGCCTTAAGTCAATCATCTGCTTAGTGTTTTGGGAGTTAGGACTGAAGACGGAAGAAAAAAATCTGAATTAACTCTGGATTACAAAATCTTGCAGAAGAAAGGAAGGAAGGTGCATGTTAGTGTTATTAAATTACTTTTTTTAATCTACTGAATTTGACATTCATATAAAATAATGTAACAGAAATATCCAAAAACTTAGAAAACATGAGAATCACAGAAGATATCTGCCTTATAGGAATCAATAACAGTGCATTGGAAGATGAACAAAAGCTTCATTCACAATTATAATGGATATCACAGAATGCAAAGGCACAAAGAAAGTCGCGTGAAAGGTGCAAGGTCACTAGGAGAACGAAGTTACTGAATAAAATGAGAGTTATTTGGAAAGCTCTAAGAAAAAGGACATGCCTTCTCACTTAAAGGTTTCCCCAGATGCTGGCTGACTGATTTCCAAGGGTTTATAGGACATAGGTTTGAAATGGTCATTTGCTACCATATGCTTCTCTGTAATCACCCTAAATGATGCTTTGTTCATTTTATGACACAAATGTAATTTTTGATTAAACAAACCAGAGGATTCAATATATTAGCAGGAAAAAGAATAAATTTTAAATTGCAGTATATAATCTTTAGTTGGTCATTTTAAAAATAAAAATACCTGAGCAAGAAACACGTTGGTCCTATAGGAAACAAATGGAAGTATTACCTCTCATTAGACTTTTACCAAGGCCATTACTTACTGGAGGCATTTCTGTTTGTCAGCATAAACTGGCTTCCTCACTCTTTGACATTTTTGTCATCTTCTTCCTTTATTATACTCTTGTCAGACCTTGTGAGAACTACAGTTTGCACAGTAAATTCATTTAAAAACTCTGTTTCAACTGTAAATGGGTACACAAAAGACAGATCAGTTTAGTTGAACTATTACAAAACCAAATAACCCTGAAAAAGAACATACAAATGCCTCTTGGATGGACCAATTTTGCAAACTGGATTAAAGAAACATTTTATATAAACATGTCTTCAGAAAACTTGTAGTATGGACTGAATTGTGTGCCCCCAAATCCATATGTTCAAACTGTAACCCTAAATGTGGCTGTATTTGGAAACAAGGCCTTTAAGGAGGTAACTAAGATTAAACGAGGAACTAAGACAAGGGTCCTAATCCAATAGGACTGCTGTCCTCATAAGCAGAGCAAGAGATGCCAGGACAGCACACACACGGGAAGGCCTCCTCAAGAAGGCAGCCATCTGGTAGCTGAGAAGAGAGGTCTCCCCACCAACCAACTGAACTGGATGGAGACCTTGAACTTCCAGCCTTCAGAATACAAGAACATAAATGTGTGTTAGTTCATCCACCCAGGCTGTGGTGTTATCTCATGGGAAGGGAGGCTGTGCTAAGATGCCTTCAGTCCCACACAGTCCCCAGTCAATCTCACCTACCTGGTGCCCACGCAGATCTTGATCTTTCACAGGACTGACTCAAGGGTCTCTCTCCTCCACTAGCTAGCAATAACCCAAGGAGCAAGAACTGTGCTTGCTGTATTTTTACATTCACCACCTCTGTTCCTTACCACAACACTAAGTACACACCGCCAACAACCAAACATTGTTTTAATATATAGCTTACTAAAATTTTAACACAAGTGACTTCAAGAAATTTTTCAGGGGCCAGTGTTGTAGCATAACAGGTGAAGGTGACGCCTGCAATGCTGGCATCCTATATGAGCACTGCTTCGAGTCCTGGCTGCTCTACTTCAGATCCAGCTCCCTGCTAACACACCTGGGAAAGCAGCAGAAGATGGTCTAAGTGCTAAAGCTCCTCGTTCCTGCTTCAGCCTGGCCCAGCCCTGGCTGCTGGGGTCATGTGGAATGAACCAGAGGATGGAAGACCCCCCTCTCTCTCTCTTTCTCTCTCTCTCTCCCTTCCTTCCTCCCTCCCTCCCTCTCTCTCTCTCTCTGTAGCTCTTTCCTTCAAATAACTACAATAAATCTTTTAAAAACACTTTCTTGTTACTCACATAATGGGGTTTGTTTCAACTTGTTTTCTCCTTGTATTCCACTTGCAAAAGGTTTCATTGAAGAAATAGGGTTCTTTGTTTTTAAAAGAGGGATGTGGGAGAGTTTCATTGTACACAGTAGGAGGTATAAGTGCTAGGAACTGGACACTGAAGGGAAAGCCAGCAAGCGATTCCCCATGCCTGCTGTTTCCAGTGCTAGAGGAGTGTCCCCTGCTGGAGGCACAAAGTGACATCACAACATTAAAGCATGTTTTTCTTGAGATTGGATTATTGTTTACAGCCCTTATCTATATTGTTTTGTTTTATTTTTTGTTTGTTTTGACAGGCAGAGTTAGAGAGAGAGAGAGAGAGAGAGAGAGAGAGAGAGAGAGGTCTTCCTTTTCTGTTGTTTAATACCCCAAATGGCCGCTACGGCCAGTGCTGCGCCGATCTGAAGCCAGGTGCCTCCCCCTGGTCTCCCATGTGGGTGCAGGGCCCTAGGACCTGGGCCATCCTCCACTGCCTTCCCAGGCCACAGCAGAGAGCTGGACTGGAAGAGGAGCAACCGGGACAGAATCCGGCGCCCCAACTGGGACTGGTGTGCCAGCGCTGCAGGTGGAGGATTAGCCAAGTGAGCCGCAGTGCTGGCCAGCCCTTATCTATACTCTTGAGGAACAGTGGTTTTTCCACTTACTATTTGTGGACTTCTTTACTTAGTGGGGGGTTAAGCTTTAAAAAAATGAGAGTATATCATTGTAAAAATTAAAAGTAAGGATAAGAAAGGAAGGAGGGAGGGTAGGTGGAAAGTATCACTTTGCTCTTAAATCTGTATATATGAATTAAATGAAATTTGTTCACCTTATATAGATAAAAAATTAAAAACCCATATTTTTCATCAAAAAGGAGCCCATTCATCTAGTTACACCAGAAATGTGGCTCTCTGATACTGTCTTCTATAACTTTTCTCTTTTACTGATTCAAAATCTTGATATCCATTAACAGTTTGATCCTCTTTGCTCTAAATTTAAGAATTCTCCCTGAGCAACTTTATCCCATGGCTACCAGCCCTAAAAAGTCTATCTTCAACTTAATCCTTCCTCTTGAACTCCACCTATACATTCCCTGAGCCCACTCTTTCTCTCTGTATCCAAAATGAATTCGTTGTAATTCCCTCCCAAACCACTTCGTCCCGCATATTGCATGTGCATCTTAGCTCAGGCTGCAGTTACCACAGACTGGCTGGCTCAACAGAGTTTTATTTTCTTGCTGTTCTGGAAGCTGGACAGCTGAGAGCAAGGTGCTGGCCCCCTTGTTTCTTGCTGAGGCCCTGGTCATGTGTTGGAGATGATTGCTTTCTCCATACCTCTCAAGCGCGAGAGAGACAGCAGGCTCTCTGTTATCTCCTCTTCGAAGGACATTAATTCTATCGGATCAGGGCTCCACTCTTATGACCTCACTCCCTCCAAACACAGCTACACTGGGGTCAGGGATTCAACACTTGGATTTTGAGGGACCTCAGTTGAGTGTAAGACAATGTGAATGCCAGTTCTCCACACCTAAGCCAGGCACCTGAAACTTGATAACTCCCCTCACCTTGCTGGATAACCAACTCACTGAGCAAGAGCCCGAAACCTGCTTCCTTCCTGTCATTCATCTGCACCTAGGTCAGAATATCTTCACCTTCGTCCTCTCTGATTGAAATATCTTAACTCTTCTTCCTACCTTCAAACTTACAGTTTCTTATCAGTAAGTAGTCTATCCACCACACTATTCCTTAAATAAACTCCTTCAAATGTAAACCTTGCCATATTCTTCTCTTGCTTCAGAACTTTACTGGACTGTCCTGTAGATTTTCAGTGGTCTGTCCGCTATTTCTTTAGCCTGGACTCTGTGTAAGGCATCTGTCCTCGCCCCCTGTATTCCAGACACACTGAGTACACACTACACTCACAACGCCCACAGTGTGCTGTGATGTTAGGGACCTCTGAACCTTTGCTCATGCTGTCCTTCTGCTTGAAATGCCTTTCCCTCTCTTCAGCTCATACACTGCATTCAGGTCTCATGTATCTAGTATAATCTGGATACTCTAAAAAAAGTTCACTACCCCTTGGTTAGACATGAATCTCCAGGCAGAATTCCTACGAGCCCTTCAAGTACTTCTATTAAAAGATACAACACACTTTATTGTACTATGTGATAACTAGTCCAATCTCCTGCTAATAAATTCTCGCCTATAAAGTGAAGAACTTGTCTTCTATTTCTACAGCACATGACACAATGCATACATACTGAACAAAAGCACGAAAAAGAGAATGGAACTGAGCAATTGAAGTGCAACAACAACAAAAAACCTCATAATAGAAAACAGGAACTTTTACCATGACATGATTTTCCATCACCATAAAATCCTTTTGGACATGAACCACAGTGATAGGAACCAAAGGTATTGAGGCACTCTACTCCTGGAAAGCAAGGCCCAGATCCACACTCATCAACATCTTCCTGGCAATTTCTGCCTACATGAAATATAGTTTGGGATCCAAATTATTTCATCAACTCATTATTTGATTTGTTTTACTGTTTATGTACAAGAGAAATTCAAAAAGTTCATGGAAAACTAAATTTCAAAGTAAGTTTATATTGGTTAAAAATTGTTGAAATTCAGGCATAGATTGTTTGTAATATGCATTGGCATGAACTTTTTAAAGACCTCGCATTATGTCCTCCTGTCTCCCAATTGCCATCATGCATTATTAGAACAAAAGTATGTTGTCTTAAGTGTAAGGGTACTATGCAATCAAATATATAGTCATTAACTGCCATTTCATAATAAACCAGAATTCAGTAAGAGCTTTTCCTATAAATAACATGACTTAAGAAATCTATTAATATTTAAGGCCAAAAAATTACCATGATAGAGCAGTCATTTGTATTTTGTTTTGAAACTCAGTGATTTTTTTTTTTTTTTTTTGGACAGGCAGAGTGGACAGTGAGAGAGAGAGAGACAGAGAGAAAGGTCTTCCTTTTGCTGTTGGTTCACCCTCCAATGGCTGGCTGGCGCACTGCGGCCGGCGCACCGCGCGCTGATCCAATGGCAGGAGCCAGGCGGAGGATTAGCCTAGTGAGCCACGGCACCCACCTTAGTGATTTTTTTTTTTAATGTTATTTAGAACAGTTGACTGCTTAGCTTAAGGAAAACTTTCAGTCCAGTTATTGCACTGGCTATAAAAATTTATGAAAACATTACACTGTGGCTGGCGCTGCGGAGTACCGTGTAAAGCTGCTGCCTGCAGTGCCAACATCCAATATGGGCGCTGATTCGAGTCCTGGCTGCTCCACTTCTGACCCAGCTCTCCACTGGAAGATGCAGATTAAGCTCCTGGCTCCAGATCAGCCCAGCTCTGTCTGGCCATTGTGGCCATTTGGGGAGTGAATTAGCATATGGAAAACCTCTCCCTCTCTCTGCCTCTGCCTCTCTCTAACTCTGCCTTTCAAATAAATAAATAAATCTTAAAAGGCGGCCTGGGGTGGGGGTGCTGTGGAATAGCAGGTAAAGCTGCTGCCTACAGTGCCAGCATTCCATATGGGTACCAGTTTGAGTTCTGGTGGCTCCACTTCCTATCCAGCTCTCTGCTACGGCCTGGGAAAGCAGTAGAAGATGCCCAAGTGTTTGGGCCCCTGCACCCACGTGGAGGATCCAGAGGAGGCTCCTGGCTCTCAGCTTTGGATCAGCTCAGCTCCAGCCTTTGTGGCCATTTGGGGAGTGAACCAGGGGACAGAAAACCACTCTCTCTCTTTCTCTGACTCTGCCTCTCTGTAACTCTGCCTTTCAAATAAATAAATTAAAAAAAAAAGGAAAAGGAAATGTTACATTGTGTTAGGAGAGTCAATCTTTTCTCAGTTAAAATTTTTTGAGATGAAGCAGTGTTCTTTGAAATGTTTAACGATTAATTTAATAAATAAATTCATAATCATTAATACATAGTAGCCCTTACACCATGAAGTGACTAACATTTCAAATGTAATCTCTAACATGGTAGAAAAGAAATATCTATATTCATAGTTCAACATGATACATTTTTTATTTTAAAATGCTGAAGAAAATAGGAATATCTGTAAATAGTCTTAGTTCAGCTATAATACTAAAATGTCTTAAAGAAATGCCTTTGAGAGAAATATAAGCTCAATAACTACGTATTTGCCAGTTTAATATTTACATTTATTTAACTTAAAAACATTGGTATGAGAAGTTAAAAAACTAAAGATCATCCTATATTTATTTCTAGAATCAGACATTTTAGAAGAGTTAATGAGTTCATGAATATATTAACATTTCATTTGATTTCAAATAAAATTTATACCATGACATTTCTAAGTTAATGAATCATTAATACAACCTCTCTAAAGTGATTATTTTTGTAAAATGGCACAATTTCTTGAATATTTCATATTATATTCAATATTATATTTCAATAATACTAATTTTAAATATATTCTTACCTACCAAATGTAGGGATAAATTTTTAGGAATCTTCAAAACAGGTTCCTATAATACTATCACAGTTATAAAAATGGCAGAATCATAGGCAATTTATAATTTAAACAAGGATATGGGTAGCACACATATTCGTGGTACCTTTCATCATCATTTTAAAATGTGTATTAAAATCTTTGGCCCAACATTTGCTTGAGTGCTGTGTAGATCAGTGTTCCAGAGTTTTCCTTTCTAATTTGCCCAGATTCTCATTTAGTTCAGAGGGTCTGAAACATACCTTTGAACTCAGGTAGACAGTCACAGGAAAAATTGTGAAAACCCTCAGCACATTTTCCAAGGCCGCAACAGTTCAATCGGCACCCACTGACATCCACGTCACAGAGACTGCCCTGGAAGCCAGCCGGGCAGACACACACAGAGACTGCCCTGGAAGCCAGCCGGGCAGACACACACAGAGACTGCCTGGAAGCCAGGGAGACAGACACTCCCGGCAGGAACTTTCATATCAGACACACATGACCCCCCATTCGAACAATCACAAGACTTCACAGTCACCTTCAAAAGATAAGAAGGAAAGTGCTTTTTCAACGAAATTATCTTCAGTTTATGCCTCACTTATGATGACAGGTGTATGTGTAAATGTGGCCAAAACGTGTATTTTTGCAATATATGGATTAATAAGTGTCGCTCCCCGTCTTTGTGGAGGAACGACACAGGACCCTGCGCTGTTCTTCTGTCTGCTCGGCCCTCCCCGGGTTTGCTGCTGGTTCTTCCCGGGTTGGCTGCTGGTCCTTCCACCTCCGTGGAAGGGCGGTTCCCCCTGCCACATTCCCCACTTCCGCGGGGGAGCGGCACACCACCGGCCGGCTCTCTCGGGGGCTGCACAGGTGTTCCCCTTAGATGTTCCTGGTGCATGCCGTCTCTCTCCTCCTTTATAGTCCTCTTCCACCAATCCCAACTCTGCTACCCACACGCCGAGTACGCTGCTCTCCTCCAATCAGGAGCAGGTCCCACAGTTTATTGGTTGAACTGGAGGCAGCTGTGTAGAAGCTGTTTCCCTTCTCAGCGCCATATTGTGGGAAATCAGATGCATAGAATAAGTCTTAATTCCAGTAACTTAGTCTAGTCCGAGTTGCTCCCAGTTGCTCCCCACAGATCCCCCTTTCTTTTTATTTTTGGCATTGATACGCGCCTGTCTTCGGTGCCCCGCGGCACACACTCTGCTCTGCTTGCTAGAGTTGCCCACAGGTTCTTACAAGTCCTATCAATCAGGCAAACCGAATCCGAGTCCTCTCTTCGCCATGTTGTGAGGAGGTTTTTAGGCGCTGATGCGTGCCTATGTTCGGTGCCCTGCAGCGCATGCTCTGCTCTGCCTGCAGGTGCTTACAAGCCCTATCAGGCAAACCGAATTCAAGCCTTCTCATTGCCATATTGTGGGGAGGCTTATTGGTGTTGATTCGTGCCTATCTTCGGTGACCTGCAGCTCACACTCTGGTTGAGCTGCCTGCTGGTGCTTACCGCCTTACTAATCAGGCAGACCGAATCCAAGCTCTCTTATTGCCATGTTGTGGGGAGGCCTTTCTCTATTTCTCTATCTCCGGGCATTCCTATTTCTCTCATTTTACTTCTAAACTTCTGTTTCTCTTATCCCTGCGGCTTCCCGGCGCCCGCCCCGAGGCTGCTTCTCGGCGGCTTCCCGGCTCTGAGCCGCTTCAGCCAGCTTCTCTCATCTGCGCGGCTTCCCGGCTTTGCGCCTGCACCACAGCCTCGCACCAGCCCAGCGTTCCCTATCTACTTGTGCCCTGCACGCTCTCTCTGCACACGGCGGCTTCCGCGAGTCACACAGCCCCAGCTCACGTTTCCGCCACCACCGGCATTCAGTCCAAGTTGCCCGGACTAACCTGGCGAATTCCAACCTGGGGGCCCACGTCTCTGCCTCTGGTTCCAGATCTTCGCCTCTTGCTCCCCGGGCTGACTTGAAGAATTCCAAGATGGCTTCCGTCTCCGCCTCTGCCTGCACTCGTGGCTTCATCCTCCCTAACATATTTTTCTCTACCCGGTATGTTTCCCTAAGTTTTCTTCCAACAATATTCCTCCCTCATTTCTCCTGGCTTCTCCCCACAGTCCGTATCCGAGTCTAAGTTTCTTCTAGGTTTCACTTTCACTTTCAACCTGCAGTCCGTATCTGAGTCTAAGTTTCTTCTTGCTTTCACTTTAAATCCTAACTTCTTTCCCACAGTCCATATCCGAGTCTATGCCTAGGCTTTCGATAGCTTCTTCCGGCACCTTTTCTGTCCAGCTTTTCCCTAGGCTCTTTGCTAGTCTCTCTCTCTGGTATTTTCCACTTCTTCCCGTTTCTTCCCTCCTAAGTTTCCTATCCGAGTCACGGCACCATTATGTCGCTCCCCCTCTTCGTGGAGGAACGACACAAGCCCTGCCTAGGCTTCATATCCGAGTCACGGCACCATTATGTCGCTCCCTGTCTTCGTGGAGGAACGACACAGGACCCTGCGCTGTTCTTCTGTCTGCTCGGCCCTCCCCGGGTTTGCTGCTGGTCCTTCCTGGGTTGGCTGCTGGTCCTTCCACCTCCGTGGAAGGGCGGTTCCCCCTGCCACATTCCCCACTTCCGCGGGGGAGCGGCACACCGCCGGCCGGCTCTCTCGGGGGCTGCACAGGTGTTCCCCTTAGATGTTCCTGGTGCATGCCGTCTCTCTCCTCCTTTATAGTCCTCTTCCACCAATCCCAACTCTGCTACCCACACGCCGAGTACGCTGCTCTCCTCCAATCAGGAGCAGGTCCCACAGTTTATTGGTTGAACTGGAGGCAGCTGTGTAGAAGCTGTTTCCCTTCTCAGCGCCATATTGTGGGAGAGCAGATGCATAGAATAAGTCTTAATTCCAGTAACTTAGTCTAGTCCGAGTTGCTCCCAGTTGCTCCCCACAATAAGGGGATTATATCCTTTGCTAGGAGAATATCCAGAGTGTAAATTCTAAGGATAATTTTTTAAAGAACTGTTACCAAATAATAAACTTGTATAATATAAGTACACATCTGAAAAATGTTAAAATGGAAAGCAACTGGTCATCAGAAATCACCCCCAAACCTAGACTGACAATGGTTGTTTGAATCACCAGATGAATATGACATTGAACACAATGCCTTTCACAATGCTGTTTCTGTATGCAAGTGTGTTCCAACAAAAACAGTTGTTAGGTAGTCAGAGCTTATGACATAATTTCAGAAGAAAGGAACTTAGTTGCCACAATTCATTATGTCTTACATCTACAATCTTGATTTTATTTTTAAAATTTTTTTCATTTTTTAAAAAGATTTCTTACTTCAAAAGAATGAGAGAGGGAGAGACAGAGAGAGGGCGAATGAGAGGCCGACCTTCCATCCACTGGTTCACTCCCCAGATTGCCATAACAGCCAGGGCTGGGCGAGGTCCAAGCCAGAAGCCAGGAACTTCATCCTGGTCTCCCATGTAGATGGCAGGGGCCCAAACACTTGAGCCATCATCTGCTGCTTTTCCAGGCCTTTATCAGGGAACTGGAATCGAAGTGGAGCAGCTGGCACATGAGCCAGCATCCATAAGGGATGCTGCTTCACAGGAGGCAGCTTCTATTTACCATGCCACAATACTAGTCTTAATGATTTTCATTTTATTTGAAAGGCAGAGAGACACAGAGATCATCCATCCTTTGATTTATTTTCTAAATACAAAAGCCAGGGCTGGGTCAGGCCAAAGGCAGCAGCCTGACTCAATCAGGGTCTCCCACTTGGGTGGTGGGGTCCCAAGCATTTGAGCCATCACCTGCTGCCTCCTTAGGCAAGAAGCTGGATTGGAAACAGAGGAGCTGGGACAGACTAAGCTCTCCAATATATGATGCTGGGGAAGCACATGGCACCCTAATGATGACACTAAACGTCTGCCCTTCTAATATCGGTTTTTAAGGTTTACTTGTTTTTAATAATTTGAAAGGCAGAGTGACACAGAGATTCAGAGAGATCTTCTCTCCTTTGGTTTACTCCCCAAGTGTCCACAGCAGCTGGGATGGGGCTAGACTGATCAGGAGTGAGGAACTCCATCTGGATCTCCCATGTGGGTGGCAGGGTCCCTGTTCTTGGGCCATCACCTGCTTCCTCCCAGTGTGCATTAGTGCAAAGCTGGATCAGAACATGGACCAGGTTCTCTGACATAGAGCACAGGGATCCCAACAGTGGTGTCCTAACTGCTGCACAAAATGCCTGCTCCTAGAATCCTGATTCCTAATTCAACACCCAAGATTCATTCACTTGAAGGAAAGTACATGGTTATCAGTCTTTGATTAACTCACATCTTTCATGGAAGTAGAAATGAATGAGTTCTTTATCCCCAGGTGAGTAAAGAATAAAATGATGTCAATTATTAATTTAGTCTATTGTGGGGAGCAACTCGGACTAGACTAAGTTACTGGAATTAAGACTTATTCTCTGCATCTGCTCTCCCACAATATGGTGCTGGGAGAGGAGGAAACAGCTTCTACACAGCTGCCTCCAGTTCAACCAATAAACTGTAGGACCTGCTCCTGATTGGAGGAGAGCAGCGTACTCGGCGTGTGGGTAGCAGAGTTGGGATTGGTGGAAGAGGACTATAAAGGAGGAGAGAGACAACATGCACCGGGAACATCTATCTGAAGGAACACCTGAGCAGCCCCTGAGAGAGCCGGCCGGTGGTGTGCCGCTCCCCCGCGGAAGTGGGGAAAGTGGTAGGGGGCCCGCCCCTCCACAGAGGTGGAGGGATGGTAGCCAACCCGGGAAGAACCAGCAGCAAACCCGGGGAGGGCCGAGCAGACAAAAGAACAGCGCAGGGTCCTGTGTCGTTCCTCCACGAAGAGGGGGAGCGACAGTCTATGACTTTGGACTGGAGATTCTAAGGATTTACATTCCCATGAAGAATAGTCCAGGTTTTGGCAGTTTAATTTTCCTTGCAACGGTTAATAACTTCATTGCTGGTTACAATTAACAAAAAAAGCCTGTATTTTAAGTTTAAAATGCAACTGTTATTATTGTTGCAAATTCAGCTGACTACACCATAATCATAAAATTACCTCAATAGCAAGTCTGGTTTCGGCGCTGTAGTCATCATGGAGCGCGAGAGAACAGCGCAGTGGTCTCTGACTCTGCTCTCCACGTCAGCTGCCTTGCACCATAAACCGTGGCTCCTTCAGGGCCAGAATCCAGGGTAAAATGGACGTCAGAACATTCTGGATCAAAGGCCAGGAACCGGTACACAAAGTTTTCGCCATGAAAAGTCTGTAATTTGTCTTGTGGTGTTTATCACTGGGGGTTGGTTGTCTGTAACACAGAAAACACCTCTGTACTTTTATAGAAAAGCAAGTGGGAAGTGTGGCTCCAAGAGCTCCCACAGAAGACAAGCACTGCAGTCAAGAATGGCCTCTGCTAAAGCTCTATGAGCTACTTTCACTCTCCTTTTTTTTTAACTTTTATTTAATGAATATAAATTTCCAAAGTACGATTAATGGATTACAATGGCTTCCCCCCCATACCGTCCATCCCACCCACAACCCTCCCCTTTCCCACTCCCTCTCCCCTTCCATTCACATCAAGATTCATTTTCAATTATCTTAATATACAGAAGATCAGCTTAGTATACATTAAGTAAGGATTTCAACAGTTTGCTCCCACACAGAAACATAAAGTGAAAAATAATAGATGATTTTTTTTAAATGATGATGAAATCAGATCAGACCTATTGTCATGTTTAATCCCAGTGAGAGTCAAGTTGGGACTTGATAATTTTTTTTTTTTTTACAGAGGATCAGTTTAGTATGCATTAAGTAAAGATTTCAACAGTTTGCACCCCCATAGAAACACAAAGTGAAATATACTGTTTGAGTACTCGTTATAGCATTAAATCTCAATGCACAGCACATTAAGGACAGAGATCCTACATGAGGAGTAAGTGCACAGTGACTCCTGTTGTTGACTTTACAAATTGACACTCCTGTTTATGGCATCAGTAATCTCCCGATGCACCAGTCATGAGTTTCCAAGGCTATGGAAGCCCTCTGAGTTCTCCGATTCTTATCTTGTTTAGACAAGGTCATAGTCAAAGTGGAGGTTCTCTCCTCCCTTCAGAGAAAGGTACCTCCTTCTTTGAAGACCTGTTCTTTCCACTGGGATCTCACTCACAGAGATCTTTTGCCAGAGTGTCTTGGCTTTCCATGCCTGAAATACTCTCATGGGCTTTTCAGCCAGATCCGAATGCCTTTAGGGCTGATTCTGAGGCCAGAGTGCTATTTAGGACATCTGCCATTCTGAGTCTGCTGAGTATCTCACTTCCCATGTTGGATCACTCTCCCCTTTATTTATTCTATCGGTTAGTGTTAGCAGGTACTAGACATGTTTATGTGCTCCCTTTGACTCTTAGTCCTTTCATTATGATCAATTGTGAACTGAAATTGATCACTTGGAATAGTGAGATGGCATTGGTACATGCCACCTTGATGGGGTTGAATTGGAATCCCCTGGTATGTTTCTAACTCTACCATTTGGGGCAAGTCAGCTTGAGCATGTCCCAAATTATACATCTCTTCCCTCTCTTATTCCCACTCTTATGTTTAACAGGGATCACATTTCAGTTAATTTTCAACACTTAAGAATAACTGTGTATTAATTACAGAATTAAACCAGTCATATTAAGTAGAACAGACAAAAAAACTACTAAGAGGGATAATGTATTAAGTTCATTAACAGTCAGGGCTATGCTGATCAAGTCACCGTTTCCCATAGTGTCCATTTCACTTCAACAGGTTTCCTTTTTGGTGTTCAGTCAGTTGTCACCGATCAGGGAGAACATATGGTATTTGTCCCTTTTTTTTTTTAACAGGCAGAGTGGACAGTGAGAGAGAGAGAGACAGAGAGAAAGGTCTTCCTTTTCCGTTGGTTCACCCTCCAATGGCTGCAGCCGGCGCACTACGCTGATAAGCCAGGAGCCAGGTGCTTCTCCTGGTCTCCCATGCAGGTGCAGGGTCCAAGCACTTGGGCCATTCTCCACTGCACTCCCTGGCCACAGCAGATAGCTGGCCTGGAAGAGGAGGAGCTGGGCTGGAAGAGGAGCAACCGGGACAGAATCCAGCGCCCCGACCAGGACTAGAACCCGGTGTGCAGGCGCCGCAGGTGGAGGATTAGCCTGTTGAGTCGTGGCGCTGGCTCACTCTCCTTTTTGAACATTTTTAATAAATTCACTTCCATTCTTAGAAAATAGAAAATAAGGGGCCAGTGCTGTGGTGTAGTAGGCTAAGCCTCCACCTGAGGTGCCACCATCCCATAATGGACACCGGTTCGTGTTCCAGCTGCTCCTCTTCTGATCCAGCTCTCCTCTATGGCCTGGGAGAGCAGTGGAGGATGGCCCAACTCTGGCCATTGCTGCCATTTGGAGATTGATCCAGTGGATGGAAGACCTTTCTTTCTGCCTCTCCCTCTCTTTGTAACTCTGCCTCTCAAGTATATAAAATCTTTTTAAAAAATATGAAATAAGTGATAGATGGGAGACCTAAAGCTTTGCTGTGACAGTGTGAAAGTATTTTGAATACAGCATGAAATATGTAAATACATTTTCACTGTCCAATTTGGATATACCCTTTCTGTCTTAAATTATTTCTAAGTGTTGAATATCTTCACCTCTCCCTGCCCGCCTCCCCCCTCTCTCTCAGCCTCACTTCCTCCCTTGGCAGCCCTCTTTCTCTGTTTCTCCCTTACTGTGTCTGCCTGGATTGCTCAGTGGCTCCTTGGACTCTGCGAGCTGCACCTGCTTCCCCAGTTGGACCTGCGAGTCATTAGTGGTACCTATCTTCAGTTCCTTCCAGGGGCTGAACTCACAAACTAGCAAAGAACTATTTCAGGGGATAGAGAATGTTCCCTTTATGCTCATGAAACAATGTTTAAAAATTTTATATTGTCTTATATTAAACATGTCTGCCTTCCTTGCCTGCTGATTTGACAGACAGAATTAATGGTCTCATTATATTGTATTGGGCATGAATACTCTGCTTGAAGCAATGAAGCACTTATGCAGGAGACAGTGGCTCTGGCTTCCCCCACCCCTGTAGATGCTTTCACAAGCAATTTAATTTATCGACCTTAATTTCCTCGTCCTTAATATGTGGGGTTAGACACAGATATTTTAAGACCCCATATCCCTCTGAACACTAGGAATATATCCTGAAGTAAGTCATACCATACCAACTAACAAACCCGACAGCAACTCAGAATAATACTCTGGTTTATTTGTCTCTTGCACTAGATTTTTCCTCAAATTTCCATTGCCTTCCTGCAATAAACCATGAGTCTTGAGCCCAAGCTGTGACTCATCTGGCAAATAGTCTAGCGCAGTAATGAAACTTGCACACACATTAACATGTATAATGATGTTGCAAGGCACTGCATAAATAACACAAAGCTTTTTTGATTCCTTTGTTAAAATTACATGAGGCCAGAGGAAAGTCCTATCCTACTGTGTTTAATAATGCCTGAGCAAGAGAACCTGGACACCCATGTGGAATCATACATGACTGTATTTAGAAAAGTGAGGAAATTATGTGGTATATGACTAAATCTGGGATATTTTTGGTGGAATAAAGTATCCCAAAATCATTTATAGCCAACAACACTACACACACAGCCACAGAATGGTTGTGCTGGAAGGAACTTTATGGATTACTGAGCCCAGATTTCTTCATTAACAGGTGATGAACCCATGGCTTTTAGGCTTAAATGGTTAAATGCTTTGTCACAAAACTGGAATGAGACCAAGCCAAGAAGGGAAAATTGTGTTTATCTTTGAATTAACAATTTCCATTTATCTCATTAATATATAATTCACAGTTGCTTTTCTTATCAAATATTAAAGCAAAAATCCACATTATATTGCAGTGTAATCACAGAAATTATATGTACATAAAGATTTTTTCATCCTATATTTCCTCTGACAAAGTAAATTATGCAGTTAGATGCCAAATTAAACATAGTGTTCATCCATCTCAAAATACAGGTGTGTAAGTCATGGTTGAAAACCACTTTGAAAATAATTTGCATAGGAATTATTTGGATTAATCAAAAATAACTTACGTTCTAAAAATGACCAGGAAATTTTTGAAATTTCAGATCTACAAAACATATAAGAGCTGGAAGGATTCTTATCCCAGTCAGTGTAGCAGACTCCACCAATAATGCAAACGTTTTCCTAATGAATATTTTTTAAAAAGGAAAACATGAATAAGGATATGCCTATAGTTAGTTAACAGAAAAAAGTGCACATATAAGGACAAGAGCATATACACAGATACTTCTAATGAGAGCATATCACAAATGTATTTTGATTAGGAAATCAATTCTGTATTATAATCATAAATGTATCTTAGAAAACAAATTATTCTCTGTACATGCAAATGTCTATGAAATGGATCAATCTGGAGAAATATGAAAGTACCTATAAGCTGTATCTGTGTGTAAAATTAGGTTATAAATAACATGGGAGGAAGATCTTTTTTTGTCTTCTTTTCACTGCTAACCTCATGTTAAGAGTGCTTTATTTTTAAAGAAATGGAATGGAAATGATTTTTTCCCCTGAAAATCTTAGAGTCACATTACTTCATAGTTATCTTCCTTTTTGTAGCAGCCCACACATATTCTGTGAACACAGTAAACTTGACTAGATCCACAGAACAATTCTCCAGACAAGATCATGGATTTCATCACACAGAATGCTGGAAGAGGTGCTGACGCACACAGGAAGGATGCTAAATGCAGCAATCAGTCCTGACTTGGGAACATTTTATTCAGGAGATAAAAACTTTGCTCATTTCACAAAATCTTCTCTGGTATCACCTGAAATGCCACACAAAAATTACAACAACCAACCTAGCCTGAGAGCATAAAACCACCTTGAATAACGCCATTTTAAAAGTACTCATGCTGGCGCCGCGGCTCACAAGGCTAATCCTCTGCCTGTGGCGCCAGTTCTAGTCCCAGTTGGGGCGCCGGTTCCGTCCCAGTTGCTCCTCTTCCAGTCCAGCTCTCTGTTGTGGCCCGGGAAGGCAGTGGAGGATGGCCTAAGTCCTTGGGCCCTGCACCCGCATGGGAGACCAGAAGGAAGTACCTGGCTCCTGGCTTCAGATCAGCACAGCTCTGGCCGTAGCGGCCATTTGGGGAGTGAACCAACAGAAGGAAGACCTATCTCTTTGTCTCTCTCTCTCACTGTCTAACTCTGCCTGTCCAAAAAAAAAGTACTCATGGACCTATAGAAATGTGCAGTTGTTCTATAATCCACCAAGGAGTGGGTACTTGCTTGGCCCTATGAATTTAGTTGCCTGAAAAAGCTCCCCATAAAAGTGTTAGCCTTGTACATTTTACACACTGTACCTGAATGCATGCCATTTGTCACAATGAGGACTGGAGAATCACAAAGCAATATCTCTTGGGAAAAATATTATTACTACTGAAAGACCCATGTAAGGAGCTATGAAGGAGTAATTAATCCAGTCTGCATTCCCTCTTGATATTTTTTAGAAATAAACAATCTGCCACTTCAAAAGGTTGAAGATATAACCTCTTCCTTGCTATTTCAACAAGAGTTATAGGAAGAATAACAATTTCAATTAACTATTTATAAACTTGAGGAAGGCCTTTCTCTATTAGTCTTTCTAATATGAATATGAAAAATTCACAATTTGCCAGCCTAGGAAATTAAAATGCTTATGTTATGAATGTGAAAAGGATGAAAAGATACATACCTTTATCATACGTGAGTCATGTTCATGGAAACCACAGACTTGACAAACGCCATCGTACACGATTACTGTTTTGTAATTACTGAATTTATGACCATCATTAGATACCTGTAAGTAGGAGCTCTGTAAGATAATTTGCTCTAAGTGTAGCCTCACAAATTCACATGAAATTTTATATAAAAGTTTATTTATTTATTTATTTTTGACAGGCAGAGCGGACAGTGAGAGAGAGAGAGAGAGAGAAAGGTCTTCCTTTTGCCATTGGTTCACCCTCCAATGGCCGCCGCGGCCGGCGTGCTGTGGCCGGCGCACCGCGCTGATCCGAAGGCAGAAGCCAGGTGCTTATCCTGGTCTCCCGTGGGTTGCAGGGCCCAAGGACCTGGGCCATCCTCCACTGCACTCCCGGGCCATAGCAGAGAGCTGGCCTGGAAGAGGGGCAACCGGGACAGAATCCGGTGCCCCAACCGGGACTAGAACCTGGTGTGCCAGCGCCGCTAGGCGGAGGATTAGCCTGTTGAGCCATGGTGTCGGCTATAAAAGTTTATTTTATTTATAAATATGAAGGTAGCTTTTTATTTTTACCTTTAATTGCCACTTTGCAATTGGTTTCTCACCCATCAGATACACAGCATCAGACAGCTGGACACCAGTAGGCAGCTGACAATCCACAGTTCCGCTACTTTTGAAAACCACCTGTGTATAGACGGGGTCTCCAGCACCCATTTACTGCTATTATACTGAAGGCATAATGAGACAGCAATTAGCCTGTTAAGTTACAGAAATATTTTGCTAGTCTATTACATATAATAGAAATGTAACTTTTAAAATACATGCCTGGTATAGAGAATCTATAAGGGAACAAAAGACATATTGAGAGTGAGGTAGTTTTTTTATTTTTTTATTTTATTTTTTTTAATTTTGACAGGCAGAATGGACAGTGAGCAAGAGAGAGACAGAGAGAAAGGTTTTCCTTTTGCCGTTGGTTCACCCTCCAATGGCCGCTGCGGCCGGCGCACCGCGCTGATCCGAAGCCAGGAGCCAGGTGCTTCTCCTGGTCTCCCATGCAGGTGCAGGGCCCAAGGACTTGGGCCATCCTCCACTGCACTCCTGGGCCACAGCAGAGAGCTGGACTGGAAGAGGGGCAACTGGGACAGAATCCGGCGCCCCCACCCGGACTAGAACCTGGTGTGCCGGCGCCGCAAGGCAGAGGATTAGCCTATTGAGCCGCGGCGCCGGCCAAGAGTGAGTTTTATTAACAATAATGAAAAAAAGTATACATCTTAAGTTAATCTAAACTGCTTTAAAAAGTCTTGTATTTCTTGAGGATTTCAATTAACAAACATTATCAATTAGCCATATATAATGAGTAACTATGTAATGACTTTTGGGGGCAAGAGGAAATGTAGTTGACTATGTAGTTGATAAAGAGTGGATTAATCTCTGGCCTAGAAACTCTGTTACTTCATTTCTAAAATATCCCACCTTCTCCATCTCCTTGAAACTTGCTTTTGTGCCCTCTGCACGGTTTCCAAAGGTTCTAGGACCCACCTCTCTGACCAAGCCTGACTGCACCACACAGGCCGAAGCTGCGACAGTGTTTCATTTCCTTGGGCTATTTTAACTTTGTACCAAAGAGTTCATTGAGCCAGTCTGCATCTGGTGACTTGAGCTGCAAGATACAAAACTCTGGGATCATTGGTAGCCGTTTTCTTCACTTTGTGAAGAAAGTCCACACACAGTAAAATGGAAAATTGAAGCCCATGAAGTACAGAAGAGCTGACCCACATACAAATGTGTGCACAAACGATCTTCATGGTGCTCAAGTCCTAAGTTCAAGATATTTTTCCCCTCAGAATTCAGCTACTTTCTTATCATTGATTCTTCAAGAAATATACTGCCTTCATCATAAATATTGCTTTAGCTTAAATAGTTAATGTAATTTGAAACTGAAATTCCAGTTAATTTATACTATTTAATAACTTAGTGACATTATTATGTTTAAGCTACACTTGCAATATTATTTTTTAGTGTTGGAAATGCATCAGTTTCTGAAAAGGAAAAACCAGAATAATTTCCTGGGTTCTGAAAGCTTCAGAAACAACTAAAAGGATTTATTGATTTCCAAAATTTAATTTATTTATGTTTTTAAAATTTACCATGGTAGAATGTTTCCAGCTAAGCAGAAATGGTTGTGTGGCATGCCAATGCTCCAATAGTGTTGTTCAGAAGTAAAAGGAAGACAAGAACATGCTAGTCTGTAACTGGTAGAAACCATCTTGATGAAGATTTGATGACTCAGCAGTGGCATGAATCCCCATGTGCAACGGGACTGCACAGTCTGGCTTAGCAGGTCTAGCACAAGTTCACACTACTGGAGGAGGAATGACACCAGCATCTCATGACACCTACACTTAGTTGGATGCAGAGTCCTTTGGCTTCCCGTGAGTAGAGGAGACTCCAGCCAACGACTGGGGATGTAAGGATTAGTTCCACCCCTTTGTTGACAGGGGCCTATCCAAAAATGAGAAATAAACATGCTTCTATTTTCCTCCCACTCGTCAATACTTTGTACCCATTATTTACTGAAGCCATTACAATGAAAAGAGACCACAGAGCAAATGACAGATAAAAAATAATTTTACTGTTGCTGTAAGTGAGATTCAAGTAAGGTATAATATAAAGGAAGTTGCTAAATCTAACTAGCACCACCAAGGAAGGCTTTAGAAATAAATGACTGCCATTCAGACACCAGGAGCAACATCATGGAAGTGTGATTCAACGTGGCAGAAGAGAACAGCATGAGAAAAGACAGAGAAGCATGAACCAGCACTTTAGCAGAGTGACAGCAAGAGGTGCAGGCATGCAAAAACAGACAGGACTTCAATCAGAAAGGGTCGTCCATTTAAGGGATAACAACCTTAATTCTATCTGATACATCAGCAATTTAAAAATTGCATCCTGTAAAGTCCTGGCTGCTTTTGTGAGAGTAAAGGAAATGAATAGGTAACTGGGTTTCTAGTTAAAATCTTTTTTTCTTTTAAATTACTACTACAAACGCATAGAAAAGTATATGTACTATGGTAATACCCTTTATGTAAAAAAAGAGGTAGGTGTATATTCCTTTGCACAAAATATACAGTAAAGATAAGCTAGAACAGTAATGAGAGTGGCTGCCTCCTTGAGGGGATGGATGGCAGTAGAATGGGAAGCAGGTGGTAGAGATAAGAACGTGGCACTTCCCTGAGTGTACATTTTGTGAAGCTTCATCTCTCAGAACCATGATCCGATTTCACATTCCCTTCAAATAAGGAAATAACTGAAAGCAACCACTGTATGGCAGAAACTCAAAATGCTATATAGTCTAGTTGTATTACAAATGAAACACATAAGCACTCTGAATAGGGTAGGAAAGAGAGCCAATCTGTCACTGTGGATCCCAGTATTTATCTTTATGTTGTGATCTCATTTTGTAAATCTTCACTAAGGGAAGAGAAGGCCTTTGAAAACCGTCCTTGTTCAAGACGAGGGCTGGAAGAAATGGACTGAACTTCAGCACAACATAAAATAAGTACCAGCTATGTATTCCAATCTTGGTTTGGGCAACTGAACCTATTTCTTCTATGGTTCTGTTCAGTTGCTAAATAATTTCAGATTTTATTCTTTGTTTACTAGATGTTTGGAAAAGGGAAGGAGTATGAGAGCAAATTACAACATACATCTGAAAGTAAGTATAAGATGTATTTTCAGTAGAATATAAGTTTTTAAACTTCTCCCTTGTCAAATCACTTAATTGTAATATAATGTCACATGATTTATTGTGCTAAGGGCAATATAATTTTTGCCCTCTCAAGTGATACTGATATTACACATTTATCTTTCCAATGTGTGTTTTATTACTTCATTGGGATTAATATATATTTCATGATTATTTTGAAAGGCTTTACCTACAAAATATTGAAATAAGCAAACTTGTTGTGTTTGACAAAAACACATACAAGTTATCTCCTCCTGAAAATTCTCAATCTTAGAATCACACTTAACTTCGTCAAAGAAAAAGTAAGAATGATAAAATATGATTTGCTGTTTTAAGTTTTCAGCTTACCCACATAAACACTTTCTATGATAAAAAGGTCGTCCTTAAAATAAAAATCATACTTGAACAAAGAAAAGGAAGACCACATAAATAACCATCAAAATAAGAAATAATTTAATATACTAATGTTCTAACTGAGTGATCATGTCTGCTTTTGTAGTCTCAAGAAAGAAAATCTCTAATTTTGGGGGTGGGCAGGTAAATTCTCCAATCTGAAGTCTAGGGTAAGGGAAACAAAGGATGAGCACAGCAAGTCCTGACTCTGGGGTCTGCAAAAAGGACATGTTCTTGTCTCTACATCCCACAGCTCACGCAGGCTGCCCTGGCCAAAAACATCTTCATTCTAAGGGTTTTACATTTTAAGAAATATTGAAGTTTACACATTTTTTGTTATAACTGAAAACAGTTATACAAAATACTTCAACTCAATCATTTTCCTGTCCAGCTCTCTGGGCATTTATTCTTTGGATTATGTTGCTAATTGACAGACCACACTAACCCATAATAAAATTAATCTGAGAACACATAAACTCAATTTTTTTCAACTCTGTAATTAACAAACCTGAAGTTCAGTAACTTCACATTTAATTGAAGGTGATTCTTTGAATCCTCGACCAAAAACTCCCACCATCATACAATTATATTTTCGAACATCACAGAATCCAGCATGCTCAAGCTCTGTAATTTCAGCAGCCTTGTCTTTGGAAAAAAATTACAATAATTAGGCCAGGTATCCTTTAGTTCCAGAAACACCCTAATTATTTTAAGATTAAAATTAAAATCATATGTAAAATAATATTTCAAAGTGTAGTCCAATGATTTCCTTTTCTTTTATTTATTTATTTATTTTTTTTTAGAGATAGGTCTTCCTTCCGTTGGTTCACTCCCCAAATGGCTGCTACGGCTGGCGCGCTGCGCCAATCCAAAGCCAGAAACCAGGCGCTTCCTCCCGGTCTCCAATGCGGGTGCAGCACCCAATCACCTGGGCCATCCTCCACTGCCTTCCCAGGCCACAGCAGAGAGCTGAACTGGAAGAGGGGAAGAGGAGCAACCGGGACAGAATCCAGCGCCCCAACTGGGTCTAGAACCCAGAGTGCCAGTGCTGCAGGCGGAGGATTAGCCTAGTGAACCACGGCACTGGCCATTCCAATTATTTCCTACATTAATAAAACTATTACATCTTAAGAGTAATCTGACATTAAAATGTTATTTGCATCATAAATATAGCATTATAAACACTCTCAGTCCCTAAATATATCAGTTCCATTAAGGTTTTATTAATATTTCATATTAATTAAGCATAAATGTTAAAAAGTAACTACTGTTATGAAATACGATTTGGTTTTGCCATTTTGGTTTGTGCAATATAGATGTGCTATAAGAAATGATTTAATAATAAAATAGTATATGTAGCAATATAACATGTTAAAAATCTCAAAACATTAACATATAAAAATAATTAACAAAATTTATGTATGCTATTGCCCTAGTAGTGTTGATATTCCCATCTATTTTCGTTATATTGCATGTTCCTATAATTTTATGTTACTTCTCAGACACTGAAGAAAAAAATGTCTTCTACCAGAGTTGACTGACATTTATATGGTTATAATTCTCTGGCCCTGGTCTTGGTAAAGGCATTCATTGTCTATATCAGTGATATCTAGTCATCAAAATGAGTATGTGCATTGTATAAAAGTACTTAACTCATCTGCCCTAGTTTGAAAAAAATCTAAGAATAAATAGAACTTTACTGGCAATAAGTTATAAAATCATGTCATGTGTATAAAAAACTCTAAAAATCTTCATGAAAGTAAAAATATAAATGTGCTAGCTCAGTCTTTCAAACATTCAACAACTGTTTATTGAGTAGTCTCTATGTATTTGATATTATTCTAGGTACTCGGGACATAGCAATGGACAAACAAAATCCCTCCCTTCATGTAACTGACATTCTAGCATAAGACAGAAAATAAACTAAAAAGTAAGTATAAAGTATACCGATAGGTTTTCAGGAACATGGAGAAAAAGTATATTAACTACATTAAAAGAGATAAAGGCTGAGATTGTGAGATGAGAACTATTCTAAAACAGCACGAAGTTCTTTGCTGGTAATAAAACATTTGAACTGCGAAGTGAAGGAAAGCAGCCACGAAGATTTGCAGCGGAAAATGCTCCAGTGAGTGGGAATAGTAATGCAAAGTCCTGAGGTAGGAGCAGGCCTGGACCCTCCTGCGGGACAGCCAAGCAGCCAGTGTCGCTGGGGAGCAGGGAGCTAGCTGGACAATGAGACAAACTGAGTGTCGCATGTGTGGGGCCAGGACTCAGAGTTTCCAGGCCGTTGTGGGGAATGTGGATTTTACTCTGAAGGAGAGCTAACTAAGGGGTTTGAGTAGTGGATCAAGATGATCTGACGTACATTCCAAAGGATTCCCTTTTGTGGATGGTGTGGACTAGGGTTGTAGCAGGGAAAGATAAAATGGTCTAAAGCTAGAGCTGATTGCTGCTCATGGATTAAACTTGAGGCTTGAGAGAAAAAGAAAAATCAAGCATGACTACAAGTTCTTAACATGAGCAATTAGAGGAATGAAGTTTGCATTTGCTGAGATGAAAAATGCTGCAGACAGAAATGGACAGGACAGCGGTTGTACAGGGAAATCAAGAGTTACTGGTTTACTGGTTAAAGCATCCAGACCGAATCTTTTAAATTTCTTTCTCTAACATATTGAGACAAAATAGTTGTACCATATAGATAGATGAGTTAGAGAAAATCAGTGTTAAGCAAATTAGTGCAATTAGCAAAATAATATAAACACAAGGCTTAACAATATTCCATCTGAGTCTACAAAAGAGCATCTCTATTAGGCAGAGATCAGTAGTGTGCAAAGGCCCTGCGATCAAGTGAACTTGACTGTGTCAGGGAACAACACAGAAAGCAAAGCAGCTGCAGAAGAATGACACGGTGACAGCAGTTTGCAATGGCACTGCATGCAAGATAATTTCTCTACATAATCTGAGTTAATCCTGCTAAGATACTGAAGGTATAAAAGAACATTTTGTAATCAAATGTCACCCACGATATCAAAGCTTGCAGAGAGTTTACTCACCATATGAATTGCTGCAGTCAGAGGAATGAAAGCCTGGGAAGCACACACATCCCCACTCCACACACCGCCCATCGCCACTGCAGAAGTTGGGGCATTGCAATACCGAGAGAATGTCTTCAACTGACTTGAGGTATTCAGCAGTGTCATACCTCCCCTCTTCCAAAATCTTCTTTTCACATTCATTTTCTAGAAGAGCCACAATTGCTTCCACCCAGCTAAGATCATCTTTTAGCCAAATATCCTTAATGCACATACCTACAACGGTGCCTAGACTCTCACAGAGAAAGGGAGGCAGAGCCTGCCTATGCTGGAGTGGGCCAGCGTCTGCTGGCAGAGCGCCAAGGTGCTGTGTGCAGTGAGGCCAGAAGGTGTGGGCCACGAGGGGGCGAACTCCTGCTGGACATCCTCTGCATGGTCCTCTGGGAAGAAATAAGCAAACTCTTCCAGGTCAGTTGGCTGAGGCTTTGGAAAGCAAACAAAGGAAGAAACCCATACAAGCTGCGCCCTTTCCATCTGTTTTGTTGATTCCACTTCATTTCTTGGCTGTGTCTCTCACCGTCTAAAGTTTTTTGAACATCTTTTTCGTTTCCTGGATATTTTTTGTGAATGTGAGTTTAGATTGGTTAGGTTTATATCTTTTTGATCTCGTGGAAAGAAATTAGTTATTTTCTTCTTGAGATGCATGCTTGAGGATCCCTCTAACCTGAGCTTCCAAATTAACATACTCTAAGGTGACATCGAGTTCTGGTATCAAAGGGACTCGGACACGTCGCAGGTCTTTGCAACCTGAAGCACGTTCTAATTGAAAAGCACCGTCCAGATGATTAGAAGATGAATAAAACGAAGCAGTGTCCAATGAGCAGCTACAACAGGATAGCTTTCCAGGTGATGCTGCAGACATTGGCTGTGGCACTGTGTCCTGGTAAAATCCTTCCAGATGCAACAAAGAAGAGCAATTAGGACAAGAACAATTTTCCTAGAAATGTCTTACAAAAAAAGTAGACTATTGAGTCACCATGCATTTTAATTCTAATATTAATAATCATAAATGAAAAACAATTTACTTCTCACCTCCATTCCTTAATAAATGCCACACAATTATTAAAATTTTGATCAATTTTGATTCCATTTTTGTCATGGAAATCATTTTCTGGATTTTCATCAAAAGTACCTGGGCGCTCTGTTATGTTCATGCCCCATTCACTAAGATCAGCATGGATAAATGCTCCTGAAGAAAACCAGACCTGAAACACAGAAATAACCCATTCAAAAAAAAAAAAAAAAAAAAAACACAAAAGATATTGGAGCAATATCCCATAAGGACTTAGAAAAAAACTATTAGGTAATTAATAAATAAACTCAGTTACTCAGTTATTTCTTCAATATAAGGAGACTTAAAAGCCCATGAAAAATTAGAGTAAAAATTTCATGAAGTTTTCAAAGCCTTCTCATATAAAAAGAGAACAAAATGATAATTAGGAAATGACCTTCCTTTTACTGTCATATTGAGAAAATAATGGATTTTTGCATTTTGATGACTTGAAATTTGATCACCACATTGGTCTTTTTATTGTGATTTATTGTTTTCAATCTCATTAGTTGATTAAAGTGAGGTATTTTACACAATTAAAAGAGATATACATCTTGAGGCTAATGTTACCAAGTAATGATTCTGATAATTGTTTAATAAAGAACTAGATTGTCATGCAGTTAACTTACAGAGATAAATATAATTCCAGAGGAACCCATATGCCTGTGGCTACTCAGGTTTCTCTTGCTATCAGTAGGCAAATACAGTCAGAAGCCAAATTATAATCACAAGTTTGCTTGTGGAGTTGGCAAGCAAAGCAAAGGGAGTTTGCTGAATTCCCTTACAGCCTCTGTTGCATTACTATTAACCACCTTTCTGTCCCAGGAAGATCTTATCGCCCAGAATGGCTCCACGGATGTCAATGTGCTGAATTTTCTAAAAGTCACTGAAGATATGCTACCTGCTTGCTCCCCAACCCTCCTCCAGGTTTTAATTTTTTTAAAAAAAATTTAAAAACACAACTTTTTCTTCTTTTTACAAAAATTCCATGTGTTCACTACAGAAAATTATTTTAAAGGCAAACAAACTTCTCATTCTGACCAAAGCAGGAGTAGTTAATATTGAAATCTTATTGCAAATTCTTTGAAAATCTCTCCTATACTTCAAGAGTATCTTTGCCTGTCAACACAAACACATCCACTCTGTCATTTTCATGACCAGAGTGTTCTATTAGGTGACATCATTACACTGAGTTTTAGTTAAGCTCCTTTATTGGTCACGGACTGTTTATAACTTTCCCTTCTTATGAGAAAAGATATATTGAATGTTATTGGTGTTATGCACACCCTTAGTTATTTTATTATAATAAATTTCTAAGAACTTATTCTTGGTAAAATCATATATGTAAAATCATGCATAGGATCATGTTATATCAGCACACGCCCTCTGTAAAGTCTGTTACTATTTGTATTCTATCCACTACCAATTCCACAAAAAGACACCTGAACTGTTTTTATAGTACGTATTTGATTACTAGTGAGGTCACAGAATTTTTTGCTGGTAATTTATATTTTTGACATATTTATCAGTTTTATTTCTTTTGTGAATTACCTTTTTATTGTATTTGTGCATTTAAACTGGGAGTGCTGATTATTCATTAGTGATTATATAAGAGTTTTTTCTATTACTATTTTTTACTATTTTACATATAGGAAATATGTTCCCAATTTTTTATTTATATCTGGTGCTTAATGATGGAATTCTGTAAATAATGTTATGTGTAACAATCATTATTAATTTCAATAAGTGTTATAAAACATACACTTTTATTTTTAATATCTTCATTTAAATTTAAATTTGATTTATCTGAAATTTACTTATTTGAACGATGAGAGGAAGATGAACATGACCTTAAGATACAAACAGCTCACAGATATGAAATACAACCTTTAAAAAATATTAGTGAATATATAACCTTGGGTGTTTCTTGACATTAAAGTCTCTCCACATATTTATCAGCTCTTTCCTAAAGTTATATTGTGCTGCATTTATTCATTTCAAAAATTTATTACCTATTCTTGAATAATTTATTTTTAATTATTTCCTGTCATCTCTGCCTAACAAACCATTTATTAAACATTGTCAAACTTTTATGAATAATTACCTAATTCATCATACTGAAATCTTTAAATAAGGGAGATTAAATTTGAGTTTTAACTTTGTTGTGTCAATGTGTGCATCATAGATGAACAAAATTTTATTCCCTCTAAGATCAGAGTTAATCTAAATGTCACTTCTAGAATGAAGTAATGTTGACAAATCATAGCTCCTATTTTAATAGATAGGAGCTCATACAAATTAAAGAGACAAAAATATATCTAATATTAAAATTCATACATACTGTGACTTTAGTTCCTAAGTAAGAATCAGTTATCTTGATATTGCTGGCTCCATCTTGGCTCTTTACAAACAAATACAGTGTGATTTGTACAGGTGACCACTGCACATATCCAAGGTAACCACATCACCGTCTTCCTTGGCAACAAACCCGCAGTTACATGACACAGGATAGTGCAAGCTTCCACAGTCCCACTGACGTATGTGGACTTCAAAATCATGTGACATACTCTTATAAAGCACAAATGTTCCGGTATTGAAATTATCATATAACCTATCATTAACAGAAGACAATCACATTAAGAATCTACATGAAATATCACAATAGTATGTTACAAACCAAAAATGTTTCTTAAATTCATTTACAGGCATTCCATACATCTTGATGCCAGAATGAGAAATTAAGATTTCCAATGGCTTCCAATATCATGGCTTCCCACAGCATTAGGCACTGAATGAAATAAAATGGCATTAAATCCCCCAACCTCCCTCACTAATCATTTCTTCCCTCTCACCTCTGCAGTTCCCTGCACTCCTGGGCAGGGCAGTTTTGCAGAATAGTCTTTCCATATTTGCAGGCCCAGGGCTGTTCATGGACTTTATTCAAGCATTTCTTTCAATGTCACCTTCACTTAATGTCCTTTCATCACCCCTCTATTTTCATATAAATTGAAACCCCTCCTTCCAGCCTTCCTCTTCTACTCTGATTAGTTTTCTTCACAGCCCATAATCTACTGATTTTATCTACTGATTGTGTTGGTTCAAAGGTCAGCTCACAGAGGCAGGAGTTTGCTTTGTTTATTACCATACCCACTTCACTTAGTCTTAGACCATGGCTTATCACCTTGCTGCTGCACAGCTGATCTGGTTAAAATAAGTTGATTAAATTCATCACCACTTGTAAGCCTTTAGCTACAACCATAAAAGATCTTTTTTATGGAACCAATTCTTCCAACACTTCAATATTTGTTCCAACCACTGGAATACCATTTTCACTGGAGAGGTTCTCTACCTATTCGCACATACTGAGTACAATTTCACTGAAAATGATCACATTAAAGTTAAAAAAAAAAAAAAACCTCACAGACTACTTTGCATCAGGCAGACAATTTTGGCTCAATAAAATGAGGTATTCTTATCATTTTGCTTAAGGGAGGATGGATCCCTCAGAAGAATACAAATATTTCTATGCAGATATTAACAGCATGGCAGCTTAGACTACTTTTTTTTTTTTTTTTTAACAGGCAGAGTGGACAGTGAGAGAGAGAGACAGAGAGAAAGGTCTTCCTTTGCCATTGGTTCACCCTCCAATGGCCGCCGCGGCCAGCACGCTGCGGCCGGCGCAACGTGCTGATCCGATGGCAGGAGCCAGGTGCTTATCCTGGTCTCCCATGCGGGTGCAGGGCCCAAGGACCTGGGCCATCCTCCACTGCACTCCCAGGCCACAGCAGAGAGCTGGCCTGGAAGAGGGGCAACCGGGACAGAATCCGGTGCCCCAAACGCGACTAGAACCCGGTGTGCCAGCGCCGCAAGGTGGAGGATTAGCCTAGTGAGCCGTGGCGCTGGCTTAGATTACTTTTTGATCATTCTGCCTATTTTACTTTATATTTGATAGGGAAATATCCAGGTAATCATGATAGTTACAACAGTTTATGAGTATTCTTGTCATAAACTAAGAGTGATTAGTTTTTAAAAGTAATACCAATTTTTTTAAAAAGATTTATTTATTTATTTGGAAGGCAGGGTTACAGAGAGGCAGAGGCAGAGAGAGAGAGAGAGAAGTCTTCTATCCAATGGTTCACTCCCCAGATGGCCGCAATGGCCAGAGCTGTGCCGATCTGAAGCCAGGAGCCAGGAGTTTCTTCTAGATCTCTCACATGGGTGCAGGGGCCCAAGGACACGGACCACCTACTTCTTTCCCAGGCCACAGCAGAGAGCTAGATCAGAAGTGGAGCAGCTGGGACTTGAACCAGCGCCCATATGGGATGCTGGCACTGCAGGTGGCAGCTTTACTTCCTATACCACAGTGCCGGCCCTAGTAATACCAATTTTTTAGTTTAATAATTTTGCCTAAACCTAAAAAGTTTTTTTATTATTACATAGAAATGCAACATACTAAAAATCACTATAATAAACAGCTTAATCATTATTAAAAAATAAACTATTAAGCAAAAATAAATTTCTGCTTTTTCCTATCCTTCATTTTTACAAATGTAGCTATAAAACCAGTCCATGTTTTTAGCAAGGATGAGATTTTAAGACAAAAATATTCTGCACAAACTAGTATTTTGAGAAAAGCCAGTGACGGCCACATATGCCTTCCTTTCTAATTTTTCAGTGGTTGTGACTAAGAAATTACTAAACAGTTTGCATTTTAAAACAGATATTATAGTATGCTGCTGTGGCTCAGTGGGGTAAGTTTCTGCTTGTAACACTGATATCCATATTGGGCACTGACTGGACCCTGCTGTTCCACTTCTGATCCAGCTCCCTGCTAAAGCACCGGGGAAAACAAAGGAAGACGGTCCAGGTGCTTGAGCCCATGCCAGCCATGTCAGGGACCCAGTGGAGTTCCTGGCTCCTCACTCTTGCCTGGTTCAGCCCTGGCTTTTGCAGCCATTTGGTGAGAGAACCAGTGGATAGAAGATATCTCTCTCCCTCTCCCTCCTCCTCCCCCTCTCCCTCTCCCTCTCCCTCTCCCTCCCCCTCTCCCTCCCCCTCCCCCTCTCCCTCTCCCTCCCCCTCCCCCTCCCCCTCTCCCTCTCCCTCTCCCTCTCCCTCTCTCTCCCCGTCTTTCAAATAAAGAAAGTATTAAAATAATAAAATACCAACCACAAAACCAAAATCAAAGCTACCAAAAGACAAGTCTTTCAAGAAGTTACCTGCCATCAAATCTAATTATATGTGGGTCAGTAAATGAACAGCAGTAAGCAGTTGGGACATTCTTTACTCTGATCTTAAAAACAAAGAGGTTTATTTGGTAAATATTACCATTAATTATTAGTGATATGTATGATAAATTTCTTGGCAATCTCAATAATTGTAAATTAATTACCACTTTTTCACAGTTACTGAAAACTGAATTATTTAAAAGTGAAAAAACTCATAATTTTAAATAAAGATATAGTGATAAAATACACATATCTTTAAGGATAAAACTGTACAGATATTTTTGTCAGGAATGTAGCCATTCCGCAGGAAGTCCTCATGAGCTGCTGGCTGCACTACTATGTTTGTGACTCTATCTCCATCTCCAGAAAAATCTGTTAGAGCAGTGCAGGACACAAAGCATGGCTACCGGTGCCATTAGAACAGGAAGCATTCTGGAGAAGGTCCACGTGGCAAGAAGACAGGGCCAAATTGAAGCCAAGGTACACTTTACCTATTTTAATGAAAAAATATGTTGAAAAATTTCCAAAGGAAATATAACAGTGAAAGCTGTAATAACTTATTAACATGAAATATAAATTAGAAGATTATTCTAAAATTATTTTCTTTCTTAAAAAATATGGTTGCATTTGCTCACTAAGTTAAACCAAAACTGCTGAAGCTACCTGCTATTTCTACAGTTTTGCTTAGGGCATGTATCCCTATTCCATCCATTGTTGAATAACAGTAATAGCTGTTAATTATTCATTTAGAGTTCATCATCCCAAAAAATAGAAAAATCAAAATCAGTGAAGGTGATCTCACACCAGTAATATACTATATTCTTTCACCTAAAACATATCCCAATATATGCAGAACTTTGAGATGTTCCCTTGCTTATGAACAAAGAATAAGAAAAATAATTTGGAGAAGAAATAGTAACAGAGAAGGAGGAAATTGTACCAGAAATTTTTACAACGAAACAAAATAAATATATTTCCAAAACACTGGCAAAGGAAGTAAGCTTTACATCAAGTTAATGCTTACAAAGTCCTCCTGAGAGCCAAGAAGGGATAAGGAAGTTGCTAAAAGTTTCCTATCTCCTTTTTTCACATACAGATTTTTTGAGCATTAAGTTACATTGGTCAGATATAGGTACACTTCACTAGATCCAAAATTCCTGAAGAGCTTTATTTGTCATATAATTTTGCTAGAAAATACGTACTTTCCCTAGGTACATAAAAACAATAGAAATGCCCTAACTCTTAACCAGCTCCTTGAGTAAACATGTACTGTTTCTGGCTTAGAGACAGGCCATGATTTCATTTTCCTCGGGTCTACACTAAGAGAGTCCCTTAAACCTGTGGAAAAATACTATACTGTGCAGAAATACACAAGAGATACCTATTTACTCTCTATGAAAGTAGAGATTTGATGAAAATAAACTTGACAGTGAATATCCAGAATGAAATACAGAAAACCTTCTCCAGAACAAAAGAAGCTACTTTTACTGACAGAGAATAAGAGCATGCAAACTTCTAAAACGTAGGGCATTTTTTATATTATTATAGGAACACTTGCCTTGCTTAAAGAGTTTAGAGCATGCAAATACATTTTAAAGTTTACTTGTAATTGAAGGAAATCTTTACCTGATTTTTTGAAAAATATCAATAACAGCCTCTTCCTATTCTCATAAACTACAGTAATATTTGCATAATGTACTTCTTGTAGAATTTCATCCGTAGCAGACAGTGGTGTGATTTCTTATTCCTGGGCTATAATTCAAAATAGTGTTGGTGAAATATGAGTGAAGAAATGGATATTTTCTAAGACTGTTTACTGTCAAGTGCCTTAGGATGATCTCTTAATTCCTCCTCCTATCTCCTATCCACCTCCTTTCTTGGGTGCATCACTCCTATGAGGCTCCTCTCACTATTGGTTTTCTAAACCTCATTTTTCTGATTTACTCAGGTGTAATATGGACATGAAGACTAAGATACCTTGTGTTCAGTGAAATAAATAAATAAATTCATGAAATAAAATGTAATGTCCTGCCTATGATGAAAAGGCATGTGATATGAAACAGAACTGTAATTTCTCTTACAGGTTACACTTTATTTATATCTCTCTTACTTGCTCTGATCTCTAAATCAGAGGCTTGGGGGGAAAGGACTCAATCAGCTCCATCACTGCTGTCCATGGAATGTTTTCCCACGGTCTGTCTTGTTCTGTGAGAGGATTTCCATCCCCTCTGCATGACCGTGACTGTGACGTATATGTGGTCATGAATCATATTTATATGAAATAATAAATCATTTACATAAAATAATTTTAAGACAAAAGATTCCCAAATAAGCTTATATTCAGGGAGACACATAAAGAACACAGTATGATGGGGCCGGCAATATGGCATAGTGGATTAAGCCACAGCCTGTGGCACTGGCACCCGATACGGGTGCCAGGTAGAGTCTTGGCTGCTCCACTTTTGATACAGCTCCCTGCTAATGCACTTGGAGAAGCAGAGAAGTATGGCCCAAATGCTTGGGTCCCTGCACCCACATGGGACAGAAAGATGGAGTTCCTGGATCCTGGCTTTGGTTTGACCCAATGCTGGCTACTGTGGGCATTTGGGGAGTGAACTAGCAGATGGAAGATCTGTCTGTCTCTCCCTCTAACTCTGCCTCTCAAATAAATAACATAAATCCTTAAAAGAATATACTATGAGGTCCATGTTTCATAAGCTTTTCACATCAGTTATCACATCTCCTTCTTTGGGCATGATTTGGAAAATCTTAAACAAAAGTGTGTCCCTCTACCTGAAAACAAGGCAAAAAGTAGGAGGGTGAGGAGGTGGAAAGCTTGGGGAGGAGAAAGAAGAGGAGAAAGATGACAATTAAGAGGACGTTATTCAATGTTAATGTTTTATTCCTACTTTGAGCCCAGAAAGAATAAAGGTAACAATCATCAATTTGGCCCAGTATTATTAATATAATTGAGCTATAATTTAATATAAACATGCAATATAGTTTACAGGAATTCACTCTAGTGATTTTTCTCTATGGAAAAATAAAAGTATCATTTGAAATCTAATAAGGAAATAAAATAAGTCAATATACTACCTTGATCAACGGTTTTTAGTTTTAATGAAATTTTGCAATCTTGATCAAGTCCACTGAGTCCAGAACAAATGACTGGAATTGTGCTCTCTAACTGGTATTCTCTCCCATCTTCTTATATAGTGCTCAATTCAGGTTGCAACTGGTTTAAGAAAATAGGTAACACAGTTGAGTTAAAACAGAATTTATTTTTAAGGTATAATTTTAAAATGCATTTTTTTCAGTATCTCTTCTTATGTTAGATGAGCTGGTAGTAACTTAAGCACTGGATTTTTTTTTAGCTGAACAGGAACAACTGAAACCAAACGCACTAAAATATAAGCAGCACACAGTTAGGATTCCATAGAGCTGCTCTACTGCTCTGAGTCTGGACTCGGTCTGGTTCAAACTTGGTTTGGTTCCCCAACAGGTGGGGCACATCACGGCCAGGCCGCTTGTCAACCTGGTTCCATGGTGGACATTGGAGAAGAGAGGAGAAAGAAGACTTTTGGCTTTTTACTTTTTTCCATTTGTTTGCTAATGTTTACTGAAGCATCAATGGGGGAGTCTGGTTTTTCCTCAGGATTTATACTTACCATCTTATTATAAATGCAAGTTTTAGCATATATGAATCAAGTGATTATTACCACTCAATTATCTCAATCCACAGGTTATTCATCAGCCTCTGCTTTCCACACTTGGACTCAATGAGTCCTGCTGCTACTCAGGACTGGCCCTAGTCCTATTCCCAGGCCATTTTTTTGAGGCAGGGATTTTTAATGTAGCCTCAAGTTTTGGCTAGCTCACAAAACAGATGTTTTTTAGTCCTGAGCATTCTTCCTCTTAGCCTAATAAAAAACAGTAGCTTGGGGCTGACCACTGGCCGTGGGGGTTGTCTGCTGGGTGTATGCCAAAGTACATCAAAGATTCCTGAGTTCCCGTGGTCTGAGTTCTGCTTCCCCTAACTCCTGTGGTTATGCTACTCTGACAATTAAATCTACTCTTCTCACTTCTTCTCAGGATCCCTACTAGGAGTGCACAGACCTCACCCAGGAATAGGTTTTATTCTGGTCCTGATTCCTGGTCTCACAATCTATCAGTTATCTCATCTTGTCCTTGAAGTAAGAATAAGTCCAGCTGGATTTCAGTCCTGTGAGTGAGACTTTCCTGTGGCATCCTGTTTGCTGTCTGGACCTCTTGACATTCTCCCTACTCCTTCTACTACTGCTGGATTCTCTGGGACCTCTGCTTCTCTGCTGAAGTAGTTCATCAGTTCTACCAGTACTACCAGCAATAACCAAATATACTGCCCTGTTTACTTAGCTCAGTCTTTGCAGTCCACAAAGCCAGAACACTGGGCCAATTCAACTCTATTCAGGGGCTCCAGTCCTTGGGTTCATACCAAGCTTCCAAAATGCACAATAAACACTGATAGGCTAACTTTTAGTGGTATGATGGGATGAATTATAGGAACAGAGCTTTTGTTTTCTTCTAGTTATAACAATTTCTTTAAAAAGTCACAAGTACATCCCAACTTCAGTTCATTAGCAGGGGTCCTTAAATTTTGTTGTGCCTTAAAACTATTGGGGTTATCCTTCAAAAACACAGACTCTTGGGTGTCAATCTTCTGATTCAATATGTGATGAGATCCAAGAACTACCGTTGATGCACCAACATTCAGAAAACATAGTTCTAAAGGAATCATCTTTCTGATACAACTCAACTGCTACCTACCTTGATGCCTACAAAAAATTCTTTGCTTTCACTGACTAAACTTTGCATATGTGGTTTCTCCAAGAAAAAGACAGAAGCACTACAGAATATCTATGAATACAGTTACTAGACAATCATTTAGTAGTGAAATCATGGAGACAATGCATGCAAATTATTAGCCTTAACATTAACTTTAATTCTTGGAAATTAGTGCAAAAGAGATGAAAGAACCAAATCCTTGCTTGAAATCTGAAAAAAGTCCATCATGATATATAGTACTTATTCAAATCTCAACATCAACTACAATGTAGTAGGCTTTTTATTTAACATGTATTTAAAAGTAGATGAAAATATTATTATAACTAGAAAAAGTTAAAACTGTTTTCAACAATAATATATATAATTTTAAAACCTGAAGGATACATACTGTACAGTTATAAAGATTCATCAATAATAATCAGCAAATTGTAAAAGAAGATATTCATATATAATGACCAAGATTATTGATTCATCCAGTTAGCACTAGAATTAACACAGCTTCCAAGGAGGTAAAAAAGAAAAAGAAAAATATCAGGGTTTTATATTCTGGGGACAAAATCTACTCTCAGGATATGATGTTTTAAAAAATAACACATCCAATAAAAGAAAAGAAAATCTAATTTTTGAACATACCCTATCTCCAAGTCTGAGATTTATGCCATCAAGTTCTAAGAGAGAGAATGCCTGAACTGTGGCTTCCCGTTTCAGCTCCTCCTTGATTTCCCAAGAAGACAGCCTGGTCCAAGCTACAAGAAATCCCACTGAGCTGTTCGTGGGAGAAACATCAAAAGCACACCTACAGAAAAGCCTGGACTCAATCAATTCCACCACAACCTTCAGCCTTCCTGGAGGCGGAAGTGGCAATGAGGGCTGCAGCTGACGGGAGAAAAAGCAGGAGTTTATTTGAGCTCCAGTAAAGACCAGGGAGGCGCTTACAGAAAGTACACAGAGACTCCGGAATGTATCTGAAGCAAAAATAAAATACATTTAGGAAATAAATGATTGTTTTCTAGCAGTCAGGAAAGCAGTTCATTCACATCTGATCCATAATTACGTAAATACAGATGACGGCAGAACAACTTGGCACCTCAAATTCATATTAATACATGCAGAACAGTTGCCTTTGGAAAGTCTAGCTCTTGAAAGCACAATAATTTATAGTCTTTAAAGCAACTATCTTTTCTAAAAGACATAAAAAACGCATTAAAGTTTTATCCATAATTCCTTGTTATACAGAAAAACCATTATAATGTAAATCCAAGTGACTATTTTAATCTGATAATTTTGTTCTTATAATTCAGCTCCTCATTACTCTGAGTTAAAAGAGCTGTTTATTGTGGGACTGACTATGTTGTCAGCAAAATATATTAAGCACTAAACACCAGTCTTAATTTTTTTTTCAGTTTTCTGAGGTTAAAAATATTTGAAGATTCCTGCAGGAACTCAAAGATTTTATAATTTCTAATTCTAGGTATTTGCAAAATTAAATATGGGGATCAAAGGTTTCTAAATATGTGTTTGTCTTGTTTTATTTTGGAAAAGAGAAAATACATGAATGAAAAAAATTTTTTAAAGTTTTAAAATGCACAAGTATTTTTCCCATTATTTTCATGATAATATTATGACAATCACAAAACTAATCTTTCACTCCCACCATCTAGATTCTTGAAAATTTTGGAAGACTTTAACTTAAGGTCTCCTCTGTGTGGAAAATGTAGATATATAAGTGTTATTTTATCACACATTCCAAAGACCTGATGCCAAATTAATTGCTTTCAAATTAATCTAAATAACAAACATCTTACTAAATTTTAGGCCAAGTTAATGTACTGAAATTTGAAGGCAATACACATTACATCTAAATTTATATTTGATTTTTAAAAGTTATACATGTGACTAAAAATTTATCCTTAAGGAAACTAGGTAAAGGAAACTTGAATTTATTTCCACACAGAGAAAAGTTATACATGGGAAATATTTTTAGGGATAATAGAGGAAAATGACTGAAATAAGTCATGGCAATTAAAATTTCTAAAACAATATTTTAAATAGAATCAACTATGTGGGTGGACTGATCATTGCTTGCAATAATGTAAACCAAAGAAAATTTGCTAAAACATATTTTAAGAAAAAGATTTTGACATCAATAAATTATTTTTGCTTGAAAATCACAACTGTTATCAGTGTCAATTCTAAATTAGATTACTAAGTTGTAATTGCTTTCTATTTTACAATGAAACTTCAACTGCTAACTTTTTAAAAAATATTTATTTATTTGAAAGCAGCATTACAGAGTGAGAGAAAGAGAGAGAGATCTTCCACCTACTGGTTCACTCTCCAAATAGCCGCAACAGCTGGGGCTGGGCCAGGCAGAGGCCAGGAGCTTCTTCCAGGTCTCTCATGTGGGTGGCAAGGGCCCAAGGACTTGGGCCATCTTCCGCTGTTTTTCCAGGTGTATTAGCAGGGAGCTGGATCTGAAGTGGAGCAGCTGGGACTTTAACCACCGCTCATAGGAATGTTGGTGCTATAGGCAGCAGCTTAATCCCTTGAGCCACAGCACCAGCCCCAATCTGGGGATTTGGCTTCAATACTTTCATTCCAGCTTACTTTGTCCAAATTGTGTACAACTTTGTACAGCATATTTTTCCAATTAATTGCATCAACATTTGAATACAACAAGTAGCTGGAAATTATTAATTTATTCAAGGGAGAAAAAGGATTTTACTATATAATACATATGCATACAAAATTCATAACTATTTTTCAGAAAGGCTAAATAATTATATCTTATATATAATGCTACTGTTATTAATGGATATTGTTTTACTCTTTTAAGAACTTAAATCATGGGGCCTGTGCTATGCTGTAGTAGATTAAGCCTGCACCTGCAGTACTGGCACCCTATATGGATGCCAGTTCGAATCCTGGCTGCTCCACTTCTGATCCAACTCCCTGCTGATGTTCTGGGAAATCGTGGGAAATGGCCCAAGTGCTTGGGTCTCTGTACCCACATGGAAGATCCAGAAGAAGCTCCTAGCTCCTAGCCGTGGACTGGCTCAGCTCCTGCTGTTGAAGCCATTTGGGGAGTGAACTAACAGATGGAAGACCTCTTTCTCTGTCTCTCCTTCCCTTTGTCTTTAACTCTGCCTCTCAAGTAAATAAATAAATCTTAAAAAAAAAAAAAGAACTTAAATCATAGAGCCTACTTAGGCTCCTATGTAACAATAGCTTGTTTAAAGAATACTAGGAAAGGTGGTTGGAAATACATTAGCAACTGGAATAGGGCATGAAAAAGCAACTCAGAATGAATTATTCTGAAAATCAGTATAGTACATTTTTTAAAATGCTATTTATTTTAGAAGGGGAGATAGAAGCCAGCACCACTGCTCACTAGGCTAATCCTCCACCTGCAGTGCCGGCACCCCGGGTTCTAGTCCTGGTTGGGGTGCCGGATTCTGTCCTGGTTGCTCCTCTTCCAGTCCAGCTCTCTGCTGTGGCCCGGGAGGGCAGTGGAGGATAGCCCAGGTTCTTGGGCCCTGCACCCACATGGGAGACCAGGAGGAAGCACCTGGCTCCTGGCTTCAGATCAGCACAGCATGCTGGCCGCAACACACCAGCCGTAGCGGCCACTTTGGGGGTGAACCAACGGAAAAAGGAAGACCTTTCTCTCTATCTCTCTCTCTCACTGTCTAACTCTGCCTGTCAAAAAAAAAAAAAAAAAGGAAGAAGGAGAGAAGGGGAGATAGAGATAGACAGAAGGGGGGGGGGGGGAGGACACACTCATTCAATGATTCACTCTCCAAATATCTGCGTTGGCCAGTGCTGACCTGGGCCAAAGCTGGGATTTGGGAACTCAGTCCAGGCCTCTCAAGTGGGTGGCAAGGACCCAATTGGACTGCTGCCTCCCAGGGTCTGTGTTAGCAGGAATCTAGAGTCAGGAGCCAAAGCCAAGAATTGAACCCAGGCGCTCAGATTTGGGATGAGAATCTTAACCATTAGGATAAATGCCACTCCCATAATAGTCCTTTAAAAAGATGAAGTGTATTAATTTTAGACCTAGTATCTGAAGATTATATGACATATCCTGACTTATCTCACATAGCTTATTTCATAAGGCACCTTTGTTAATTATATATTAACAGTACCTCGTTCATTTTAGAATATTACATTTGGCTAGCAAGCCCTATAAAAAGGCTATTGTTTCAATCAATAATTTTAATTTCTGATCATTCTATAGGTAGATGTCATATATTTATTACCTAGTCATTTATTTAGAGTGGTTTATTTCAAGAACATATAGTAGGGAGGCTTAATATTTGGAATAACTTTAAAACATTAAACCAGATAGGAAATGAAAAATATAGATTGAAAGGAGAAAAAAATTTTGTACATTACTACCATCCTTAGTGTTTACTTTGCAAGAGCTAGTAAAAAAATGCAATCCTTCTACAAGACAAAAATGAGACTGAGATGCACAGATTTCTATCAACAATATACCATGACTATCTACTGATATCAAAGACTGTACTATTATATTTAAATGGTGTTTCTAGACCATTTTGTCCTTGTTTACACATTAGAAACACTGAAGCAATCAGCCAGCAGTTATTGGAAATCTGTAGTTGATTTTTTTCAAACATTACTAGGAAAATACTGCCATAAATATTTGGCATATATGCTGCCTTATACAGTTCTCTAAGACATACCTTTGGAAGACGAATTACAAGGTAAAAATACATATGGATTTTTTATGACGTTGAGATAAATCACCAAATTTTCTCATGAAAAATCATACCTTGCATGCTTACCCAATCTGTTTACCATTCTGCCAACTCCAGGACTATTTCCCAAAGGTACAATAAAGTAATTTTTGTTTACTTTTTGTATCTACCAGACTGTGGCTTTAACAAATATCAACATAGTTCAACATTTAAAGCCACAGAACATAAATACTTATTGAAATTATTAGTTGATAAATATATTATTCAAAAGCAAAATGTGGGCCGGTGCTGCGGCTCAATAGGCTAATCCTCCACCTTGCGGCGCTGGCACACCGGGTTCTAGTCCCGGACGGGGCTCCGGATTCTGTCCCGGTTGCCCCTCTTCCAGGCCAGCTCTCTGCTGGAGCCAGGGAGTGCAGTGGAGGATGGCCCAAGTCCTTGGGCCCTGCACCCCATGGAAGACCAGGAGAAGCACCTGGCTCCTGCACTTTGGATCAGTGCAGCGCGGCGCGCCGGCTGCAGTGCGCCAGCCGTGGTGGCCATTGGAGGGTGAACCAACGGCAAAGGAAGACCTTTCTCTCTGTCTCTCTCTCTCACTGTCCACTCTTCCTGTCAAAAAAAATAAAAATAAATAAATAAATAAAAACGCAAAATGTGATACTTACCAACACAGGCACCTCCAATTTCAATTTCCCCAGGGCCAGATGGGTGTAATTTTGCCTCAGGAATCACTGCAAAACATAAAGATGTGTGTATTGATTCAGCTGAGCATAAAGATGTAAATCTACCTATATCCAGGATGGCAATTCCTTGGAGAAATATGTTTTAATTCAAGCTGAGACTTCCTTGGCTTTTTTAAAAATTTTTTTTTTTTATGTATTTGAGAGGCAGAGTTATAGACAGAGAGAGGGCGAGGCAGAGAGCAAGGTCTTCCATCTGCTGGTTCACTTCCCAAATGGCCTCAATGGCAGGAGCTGGGCAGATCCCAGGCCAAGAGCCAGGAGCTTCTTCTGGGTCTCCCACGTGAGTCATCTTCCACTGTTTTACCAGGCCATAAGCAGAGGACTGGATCAGAGAAGGGGCAGATGGGTCACAAACCAGCACCCATATTGGATGCTGGCACCATAGGTGGAAGCTTAACCTACTACACCACAGCATTTGCCCCAGTTTGTTTTGTTTTGTTCAGTAATAAACTTTTCCCTTTGAAGGATGAGATAAAATAAAAATAAGGTGCAATATTTCAAAAACAATCCTAGCTCCCATTGTTTTCTAAATGTTTATCTGTATTGCAAAATAAGAAAACCACTAACATCAAGTGCTGGTGAGCAGGTGTACAACAGGGATGCACATTCGTTGCTGGTGGAATTACAAAATGGTGCAGCCACCATGAACTTGGCCACCTTCCACTGCTTTTCCCAGGCCATCAACAGGGAGCTGGGATGGAAGTGGGCAGCTGGGACTAAATTTGGTACCCAAATGGGATGCCAATGCTGCAGGCCATGGCTTAACACGCTACTCCATAGCGCCACCCCCAACACTGTCCTTTTCTTACCTCTCATCTACAACTCACTCTGTTCATGCCAACACGTTTCTCTCTTTCAGTTCCTTGAATTGCCACTTAAATACCAATCTAAAGACATAGGTATTTAAAAAAAAAAAAAAAAGACGTATGCATTTGCTGTTCTACCAGGAATGCTTTACCCCTCATTCTCATTTAGAGCTCAGCTCAAATTCTCAGCTCAAATTCATCAGCTATTCAGACACTGACCTCCAGGTAAGTTTTTCCATTCTATTCTATTGCACTGGCCAGTTTAATTTATAGCATATTAATTTCAAAACTAATTTTAATTTTTATTTTGTGCTAAATAGTTTAAAATAGATTCATATAAAAGTTTAAAAATAATACAAATAAATTATACCACTTATCCATCGTCTACAAATATCAACATAGTATAAAACCATAAAAGTCTTATTAAAAATAAGAAATGAGGGGCCCACGTTCTGGCACAGTAGGTTAAGCTACCACCTGAGATGCTTGCATCCCATATCAGAGCGCTGGTTTGAGTCCCCTTTGCTCTGCATCAGTTCCACCTCCCTGTTAATATGCCTGGAAAACCAGCAGATTGTGGCCCAACGACTTGAGTACCTACCACCTACACTGGAAAGAGAGATGGAATTCCAGGCTCCTCACTTCAGCCTGGCCCACCCTTGGCTGTTGGGGTATTTGAAGAGTAACTGTCATTCTTCCAAACAAATAAAATAAATCTTTAAAAAGGACTAAAAAATTGACCTTAGAATTATCCTGTTAAATAAACTAAGGACTCTGTTCAGATTTTATCAGTTTCCACTCATACCATTCTCTATTGCAGTATCTAATCTAGGATATTATGCTGCATTTCTTATCATGTCTCTAACCTGTGACGCCATCTCATTTATTCCACATTTTTCATGATTCTGATATTTTTGAGGAGTATTGCTCAGGTATTTTGTAGAATGTTCCTTAATTTGGGTTTATATAAATTTTTTCATGATTAGACTGGAGTTAGGGCTTTGGGGGAGGAATGTCACTAAAGAGAAGTGCCCTTCTTATTGCCTGTGATCAGGACATACATAATGTCAATGCACATTATCACTGGTGATGTTGCTTTGACCAAATGTGGTATATGCCAAGTTTCTGCACATAAAATCACTAGTTGTCCCTTTCTAGACACTGTCACCTGCAAACAGCCACTGACTGCAGCCCACTATCTAAACGAGGGGAATCGACCTCCGTCTTCTAGATGAAGTAGTAGCCAAAAACATTACTTGCAATTCTTCCTTAAGGAGGCTCTATCTTTTTTCCTGTATTTATTTGTTTCTCTAATTATGCATTTTTGTAGCAGAGACCCATGGATGTTTATTTTAGTCTTTGAGTAATATTCACTTTATTTTTTATGTTTGAGGCATTCCATGGAACATATGTTCCATGAGGACAAATATGTCATTGGTGTTGTTCATCAATGTAACCCCAGAGCCTAAAGTAATTCCCAGCGCAGAATAGTCTTTCAATAAACACTGGTGAATAAAAGGTGAAATAATATGAAATACACATTTTCACGACATGTTTAACTCACTATCTTTCATTCTTAATTATAAAGAAGATGAGCCACATAGAAGCCAATATTTTTTTACACAATCATTGTGCTCAGAGGAAAAACAAGGAAGTATGCTTTTATACTATCACATAAATAAATATTTTTGAGGACATTAAGATATTTGCAAAGAATCCTAAACTAATCAGGCCAATTTAAGCCAAGAATGTAGCTTTAGTCTGGCAATAATGGTAAGCCAAGTTTTTTACTGGGGTTTGTATTAGCTCATTTCAACCTATCCAGGGAACAAACACACAAATGCACCAAGATTATCATTCCACGGTTAGCAGTTATGTGTATTACTGATGCTTTCTTACGTTCCGCACAATAGCCCATGCATCCCTGAGTGGGCTGTAGTAAGTACACAAAAAATTTCCCACAGTTTCTTACAGACACAGGGATTTGAAAAAGACAGCAGTCTTTGGTCGCACTGAACAGAAACCGCCATGTGGCACAAGCGGTCAGGTGCTTCATCTCCCCAGGAGAAGGCAGTGTTTCTGAATCTCAGGGACAGCCAGATGGGGGCCTGTGTTCCACAGTGGTTCATCCTTTGTGTCAGAGGAAACAAAAGGTGAAAATCCAGTTTAACTTTGCATCTTCTTTTACATGACCTTTGAAATACTATTAATTTTAAATATTTATTAATTATTCCCACTTTGAAAGGCAGAGAGAAAGAAAGGCAGAGAGGGAAAGAGTGAGATCTTCCAAACACTGGTCCATTCCTCAAGTGTACACAACAGTTGGGGTTGCGCCAGGCTCAAGCCTGGAGCCTAGAACTCAATCCAGCTCTCCAGTGTGGGTGTAGGGCCCAAGTACATGAGCCATCACCTGCTGCCATCCACGGTGAGCATCAGCATGAAGCAGGATGGGATATGGAAGAACCAGGACTCAAGCCAGGCACTGCAATATGGGATAAGGCCTCTCATGCAGCAATCACTGTGGCTAATACCTAGCCCACTAATCATTTTTAAAAAACCTAGTAACTTGTCTTATGCTATACAAGGAAAAGCAATTTTAAGGAATACCAAACTCAAGGGTAGGTAATTTATAATTAATATAAACCTATCTATGTAAAGGTCTTTATTTTTTTTTGTTACATTTGTATGATAAACAAGAGAAATTAAATGTTGGCTGATTTTTAAAAAATTTATTCATCTACTTGAAAGTCAGAGTTACAGAGAGAGAGAACCTGCACCCATTCATTCACTCTCCAGACAGCCCCAATGGCCAGGGCTGAGGCAGGCTGAAGCCAGGAGCCAGGAGCCAGGAGCTTCATCTATGTCTACTACATGGGTGGCAGAGCCCACATACTTAGGCCATCTTCCACTGCTTTTCCCAGGAACTGAACCAGAACAAATGGGATGCTGGAGTCACTACAACTTTGGCCCCAAATGTTGGATGATTTACTAAAAAAGCAACAAGTAACAAGAACTGAAGTACTTAAAATATAAAGTAGGTTACTGCCTACAGATTACGTGTGGTTAAGCACAAGTGACCTGAAGAATGGGTGCCTATGTTCAAAACCTGTCTCTTAAACCTGCTAAGTTGGGTGACTCTGAGAGCATGATGTCAAATGATACCTTTCCTGAATGGCCAACAGAAATGATGATGATGGATTGTAACTTACAGTTGTGGAAATTATGTAAGATAGGCAAAGTGACTTGTTGGACTGCATGGAATGTGACATTATTATTATTACTGCTATAGCTGATAACAGTTGGACTGTTAACTGGAGTGATAACACAGGGAGGATACTCCTTTGAATGAACTCAACTTGATACAAAATTAAAATAACACTTCAGCATGTAAAAGAAATTGGCTGTCAGAAGATTCAATCCTCATGACAAAAGCACATAAGGAAGAGCACTTGTTAGCCCTGGGACATGGACATACCTCAACACACATGGTTGGCATTTCAGCAGGTCTGTCAAAGAGGAGAAACCAATATCATCTGGGGGAGAGGGAGTGGTCACAGATCAGGTCTTGAACAGCCTACTGCTGAAGGTGTAAAGAATCAAAATAGACACTTCTATAAGGACTCCGAAGAATCCCATGTCCCCAGGAGAGCACTCATGAGCTAGATGGAGAGACAAGTGTCTCCATGGGACATGTTTTAGTCATTGACATAGTTTAGTCCTCCGTCAAAGCTGACTCCCAAGATGAAAGAATGCAATTGAACTCATCATGTGCATAAAGACCCTCTGAAATGTCAGAGTCTCCTACAGCAAACACACCAACAAAACCCATTAGAATACATTTTTGAGGTTCAAAGCTTTCATGTAATTTGAACCAACAGAGCTGACTGCTCTTGAGATAATGTCTGCTTAGCTAGAACACCTCAAGACACGGGCACTACAGGTTTCGGCCCGGTCCTCCCATTTGAATGCCACCATGGGTCCTCTTGATGAGCTTTCCCTCAAAGCAGGCCCCAGCCCTCAACATCCCATCTCTGCCAGATCCTGGACTGCAAGCTGAGCTCATCTCTTAGTCAGCCTCACACTGAAGTTCCCTGCATTCTCTGGTACAAGAAAGAACATAACACTTTTCCTTACCTCCTTCCCTCTACCCTCTCACCTTTCCTTCTTCCTTCCTCCCTTTTCCTTTCTTAGCTAAAATATTGGATGTCCCCTTTCTCTAATAAGCACAAGAAAATATATGAATTGAGAGAGAAAAAGAGAGAGAGACATTTTGAAGGAGCATCAGAAATAAACCCATATATCCATGGTTAACTGATTTTCGACAAGGGTGCTACCACTGTTCACTTAGAGAAAAGACAATATTTTCAACTAATATTTTGGGATATCCAGATATCCACATATAATGGAATGAGGCTGGATCCTTACCTTATACCAAATAAGAAATTAACTCAAAACTGATCCAAGACCAAAATATAAAACTTAAAACTATAAGTCTCTTAGGAAAAGATATTGAGCTAAATCTTTACTACTTAAAATTGGCAATGGATTACGACAATAAAAACATATTCAATAAAGGAAAAGATAAATTGATCATCAAAATGAAAAATTTCTATACTTCATAGGACACTAAGAAAGTGAAAAGGGGCTGAGGTTTGGCCCAATGGTTAAGATGCCTGTGTCCCATATAGGAGTGCTGGGTTTGACTCTTGGCTCCACTCCAGACTCTGGCTTCCTGCTAATGCAGATCCTGGAAGGCAGCAGGCAATGGGTCTTGCCACTCAAGTGGCACACGTGGATTGAGATCCAGGCTCTTGGCTTCTGCTGGCAGCCACTGTGGGCATCTGAGGAGCGATCCAATCAATAGGACCTCTCTCAGTCCCTCTCCCTTCTCTCCTACCTCTCCCTTCTAAATAAATTAATTAAACATTTTTTGAAGAACTGAAAAGACAACTCACAGAATGTGAAAAATAACTGCAAAATTGATACGAAAAGTGTATGTAAAATAGAATATAAAATTACCCATTTAACTCAAGAAAAAAGCCAACAAAATAATTAAGAAAAATGGCAAAACATCTGCACTGGTATTTCTCCAAAGAATATATGCACATGAAGAAATGTTTGACACCCTTAGCCATCAGAGAATTTTAGATAAAACCAGAGATGCCACTTCATACTTGTAGGATGGCAGACTCAAAACAAACCACAGAAGCATTGGTAGGAATGTGAAGAACCCGTAACCTTCAACTCACGGCTGCAGTGTCCTTCAAATGTGTAGTCATAGAGTTAGCTCAGCAGTTCTACTGCTAGGTATACATCTAAGAGGAATGAAAACAAGTAGCTACACAAAAACCTGCACAATGCTGTTTGTAGCAGCATTGTTTATAGTAGCCAGAAGGTGGAAATAACTCAAACTGATGCATGTATATACAAAATGTGGTATCTCCTTGTAATGGAACATTACCTTTCAAAGAAATGATGTACAGACACATGTTACAATACGGATGAGCCTTGAAAACATTATGCTGGGTGGGAAAACAGACACAAAAAACCTATCATATGATTCCTATGATTATAAAAAAAATACACAGTTTAGATACAAATTAGTGACTGCTTATGGCTAGAGAGGCAGGGAGGGTGATGGAGGATCTGAGTGACAGCTAAGGGCCCAGTTTTTCTTTTTGACTTTATAAAAATGTTCTAAAATTGCAGTGATGGTTATACACATGAGATACACTGAAAACAATAGGACCGTACACTTTAAATGAGTGATCTGTACAGTATATGACTATGGCTTAATAAATCTGAAAAAAGTCTCAGTAAGTATACTTTCCAGTCACCTTCTCTGCTTCTATTGAATGATTACCTCTACCATGACATGAGCTTTAAGCTAGTACGAGATAATAGCTGCCTTTCCTAGAAAAGCCACTAACCTAGCGTGTGGAAGCAAAAGGAGTTGCGTGGTCTGCAGTAAGTGTGGAAGTATCTTCTAAGTATTGGTCTTTTTTTCTAGAAACATCTAACTGTAAGGAATGTACACTTCATAGGCTGTTATGTGCATCTTAAAAAGCTCCTCATAAAGATCTGGTAAATGCATAAGCAAACCAGAGAAGGCACAGCTGTTAAGTTGTTTCATTTCAGAAAACAATAAGCTGCGTTCTAACTTTTAAAAATTTTACCCTCCTCTCCCCCGAGCAAACTTACCTTAGTGAAACTGGTGAGGATGCACAAGATGATAAGAAGACAAAATTACACCCTAAGCACTTATAAACGTTCCCCATGAATTATTTTCAAGCTGCAGCTGACTGCACAACGGATCAGATGTATCTGAAAACTATGAGGACACGTAAATAATCAACAGGTCACCGCTCCGTGAACACCGGCACGCAGGGCTGACGAAGCTGACTACGCGTCCTGTAACTTCACCGTATTTTCCTTGCCAGGGATGAAGGGAGGCGGACAGATTTCTTCCACGGCAGCCAAACGAATTCTAACACAGGTACGAAGAGAACCTAGAGACTTCCGACAGGGCCAAGAGGTTCGCTAGCTCGTCGTTTCCGCGCGCGGGCGCAGCCTGGCACCTAACTTTGCCGGCACTTGGCACCCACTGGCGTTATCTGGAGGACCCAGCCAAACTGTAAAGCGCGGGAAACGAAGGCACACAAGCAGGACCGGGGGTCGCAGGGGTGGAAAAAGTCCACCAGCGCCAGGGAGCCGCAGACAACGCCGGCGCACCGGGCTGTCCAGCGCCCGCGGCGGCAGCGACAACGGGAAGGTCCGGCGGCGACAACCGCACGAAGCCCGAAAGCGGCCCCGCGCGCCTACCTCGCCCACGGGCCCCGGGTGCCAGCGGCGTCAGCGCCAGGGCCGGCGTCCAGGCTCCGCCGGGCATGGCTCCTGCGCCGAAGGCCGGGGCCAGCGGAGCCTCGGAGCCCTCCTCTCCAGACATTCTCCCGGCCTCAGGGAGGCGGCGAGTCCCCGCTCCGCGGGCGCAGCCAGCTCTTCCCCGGGACAGGGACCCGAGCCCGGGCGCTACCTCCTCAACGACGACGACCCCTCCCCCGCCTCCTCCCCTCACCTTCCTCACCCTCCTCCTCCTCCTCCTCCCTCCTTCTCCCCCCGCCCCGACTGCCCGCGCGCGGGCGCCACGGCCCACCGGCCCACGCACCTTCCGCGCGCCCAGCTCCTGGGACGCACGTGTGTGAGAAGGAACGAGTAACATAGGCCGCTCTTCTGCGAGCCCTCCAGTCAGAGAAGCCTCGGGGGGTCGGCGCCCCGCGCCACCGCTCGGCCCCCTCTCCAGATGCGGCTTTGCTCCCGAGGGCCGGAGCGTCTCCTTAAGCCTCACTAGGAAATGGCGGGAGGAGGGCGCACGGGGGCCTGCTGCGAGGGCGCGGCCCTGCCCTTGCCTCAGGGACCGGTTCAAAAGCGCAAGGGTCCTGTCCAGCACTCCCCAGAGCTTGGGGTCTGCCCACAGTGAGCTCCCTGGCGGTCCTGTGGTGACGCAGCAGGCTCCACGAGTGCAGGGCGTCGACTCCACCCAGTTGTCTTCAGACACGTGGTTGCCTGTGCAGAGGGGCCATTGTGTGTCTGTGTGTGTGAGAACAACACCTCCCTCCCCCAGTACTTGGATCCATCACCTGGCAGAGGCTTAACCGGGGACGCAGGAGCCACTGGGGAGCAGCAGCAGCCGCCTGTGCAGAGGGCCCATCGTGTGTGTGTGTGTGTGTGTGTGTGTGTGTGTGAGACCAGGGGAGCAGGAGACACTGGGGAGCAGCAGCAGCCGCCTGTGCAGAGGGCCCATCGTGTGTGTGTGTGTGTGTGTGTGTGTGTGAGACCAGGGGAGCAGGAGATACTGGGGAGCAGCTGCAGCAGCCACAGGGGTTGTTAGTGAACCCTGGTTCCATATACAGGTTTATGGGATCAGGTGCTGAAGAAAGGAGGTGCCTCAGTGCCCCCAGAAAAGTGATTTTTAAATAGTTTCTATTCTTTTTCATTTAAAAAAGAAATTACCATTTAAAATTTAAAACTTCTCTCCAAGAGTAAAGTATTAACCTGTGTTGGAAAACAAATTTTGCATGGGCCAAAACAAACATGAGACCCCTTTATACTCAGCCTTCTAGGAAGAGAATTACATGCAGCCTTTTGGTGAGGGGTGTGCAGATGATTTTCATCTTAAAACGAATATTTTAGTCTGGGCAAGATGAAGTCCCAGAGATTTCTTAGTGCATGTGTTTTGTTTCAGGCTGTGGAGTCCTGGTAAACCTGAGACGGAAACACAAAGTGCAGATTTCTCAGTCTCATCAGGAGTGGTAGTAGTTACAGTTAGGATCAAATCTTAACAGATCTTTTGTGAATTGATTATCTAGCAGTATCGACAAATGCAATACACCTTTATACTTTCTTAGGGGAAAAATAACATCTCTGACTTCCATCAACCATATAATTGTAATATTAGTCTTATTTTTCCCTTCATGTTTTTATTAAAAAAGCCAGTTTACAAATTTAAAATATACTTGTCCCAAAACCCAGTTTTCCTCCTGATGAATTAAGATGGCAAAAACTAAAATAAATTTTTTTAGATCTGGGTAGAAAAATTAAACCATCTTGGATCTTCTAGAATGCACTGATTAAAATTTCATTACAAGACTGAAAAACAAGTATTAAAGTCGACACTTCAACATATGTCTTGTGAGGTTAACAAAAAATTGGCGTGAGACTTAATTTACATTTTTATTTTTGAGAAGAAAAAAACAATGGAAGCATGGTATCCTTATTGCAGATGTTGTTGGTGCTTGTACAGTACAGTAAATATCAGAAATAATACAGAATGTATGAGGGAAGAAGTAAACCGAGCATGGCTAAGTACAATGCAACTTAAATGAAAAGTTCATCAGGGAGAAATGTCAAATAATAATTTTCTTTTTTTTTTAACTTTTATTTAATGAATATAAATTTCCAAAGTACGATTTATGGATTACAATGGCTTCCCCCCCATACCGTCCCTCCCACCCACAACCCTCCCCTCTCCCACTCCCTCTCCCCTTCTATTCACATCAAGATTCATTTTCGATTATCTTAATATACAGAAGATCAGCTTAGTATACATTAAGTAAGGATTTCAACAGTTTGCTCCCACACAGAAACCTAAAGTGAAAAATAATAGATGATTTTTTTTAAATGATGATGAATTTTCTTGGAAAAGGAAGTGTTTCAGCTTTTGTCATGTTCATCTACCAGTGATGATAGGTTTGACTGATTGGGAAAGAAAAATTCAGGGAGCAGAAAGACAGTAATTAAGGGCAGATACCCTGGATTCAGGAGACTTGGGCTCTGCTTCCTATTTAGAGCCTGTGAAGCCTTGAACAGCCACTCATCCTCTCTTCAACTTCATTTTTCTGTACAACAGGAATGATAGTACCCCACAGAGTTTAAGAATCAGCAGTGTGTGGGGGGCGTGGGGCGGAGGGGAGCTGGAGAGAGAGCACTTGGACTAGTGTCTATTATTAGTGCTACACAGTAGTAGTTATGGATGGATCTAGTCGTTTAGTGTTATGAAAGCAAGAGTTAAAGTCTATGTAATTATGCTTTTTCTTCTAATTATGTAAAGGTGCATGGTTTCGCAGCAGTACTGAATTGCAGGTTACTGCATAATTTGGAGTAACTTTACTGAGAAACACCTATGTATCTAACACAAATTTAAATGTGAGAGGCCTTGCTCTCTCCTGAACCATGTTGGGACAATAGACTCTCTTGCCCTGAAATGCAAAATTGGTGGGGTTGCTTGGTAGTGTACTTGAGCTGAGCACTGGAACAGTGAGAGCCAAAGAAAACCTGTATTCAGATCAAGAGCCAAGTAGTAAAAGCTGACCAGCTGAGAGGGGAGGAAAGACCAAGGTGGATGCCCAAGGAGAAGTGGAGATGAGAAACCTGAGAGAATAGAGAAACAGTGAAATGGGAAACATGTGGGTGTGGTGGAGAAACAGAGAAACCACACACGTGCACCGAGGAGAGAGACACAGGCAGAGAAACAGAGGCCGGCAGAGGGTTTCCTTCATCCCAATGATTTTCCATTCCATGGCCCCAGACTTGGGAGGATGGCCTATTTTCCTGTCTAGAGTTTCATTAAATATCTCCAGGACACTGTCTGTAAATTGGGTTTAAGTGAGACTGAATTGGGTTTTTTACATTTGAAAGGATGGTATCTAACCCCAGTAGAAAATACAAGCCATATAAATTTGGCATTTGCTGCTCTGCTTAAGTATTTTGCTAGAGAAGGAATAGAAAAAGTGCCATTGTGATTAGTACTTAAATGTTGCAGTCCCCTTGTCTAAAGGGGAAATGGGTCATTTGGCCACACAGAACCTCTGCCATCCATTGTCCAAGGAAGGATCTGTTTCTTTGCCTTCTCCAGCTACTAGAGGCTTTCTGCACAGAGTGACGCATGGCTCTTTCCTCCATTTCCCCAGGCAGTGGTGGGACATCCTTTCTCCTGTCTGCTCTCTGCTTTAGTCCTTGGATCAGTCTTGGAACTGACCTTCCTGCTTTGCTGTCACATGGACGCACTAGATTATACTGAGGCTGAAGATTGTACTGTGTGATTCAAACAGGCTTTTTTTTTTTTACTATAAAATATGGCATTTTTATGGGAAATTAATCCCAAATGCAACAGAACACCTAGCAGAAGACTGAGAAATTACTTTTTGAAAGTTTTGTTTCTGACATTTTTTGCAATAAAGCAAGCCTTAAAAGTTGCTATTTTAATAAATAAACTTATTTCAAATTAATATTTTTCCACAATGTGATTTTAAAATGAGATTGGAATACTAATGTTCCTTTGGGAGGAATTGAAAAAAGATATTTTCCTGTTTAACTGGCATCCAAATACACCAAGTAATACTGATTGCATCTGAAGTGGACATTATAAATGATTTTTAAATTGAAGTGTAAGTGTAATGGCTATTTGAATATTATTTCTACTCTTCTAGAAGCTTTAAATAGAACATTGTAGCAGGTGGCAAAGCTTTGTGACATTTATGTTTCTATTTATATGATTTATGGATTTATCTCTTCCTAAATTACAAAGCACTTTGAGCCCCTTGATTATAACTTATAATATAATAGATAGTTTGTAACTGGAAAGAGATAGTTAGATTTATAAAACAATCCAGTAGATGTCAGGGAATTTAGTTTTTGTGCTGATTTCCCGAACACCAACCTTAATTCATTTAAAATAAGCCACATAGTTTAGAATATAAAACTTATTTTGGGGTCGGCGCCATGGCTCACTTGGTTGATTCTCCGCCTGCGGTGCCGGCATCCCATACGGGTGCTGGGTTCTAGTCCCGGTTGCTCCTCTTCCAGTCCAGCTCTCTGCTGCGGCCTGGGAAGGCAATGGAGGATGGCCCAAGTGCTTGGGCCCTGCACCCACATGGGAGACCAGGAAGAGGCACCTGGCTCCTGGCTTTGGATCAGTGCAGCTCTGGCTATTGCGACCATTTGGGGAGTGAACCAACGGAAGGAAGACCTTTCTCTCTGTCTCTCTAACTCTACTTGTCAAATAATAATAAAAAAGAATATAAAACTTATTTTAAAAATTTATTGAAATATAGTTCACATAAAATAAAATTGACCTGTTTTTGGTCTACAACTCAATGAATTTTGGTGCATTTACTGTGCTTCACCAACATTACCACAAACTAATTTGAAAACATTTATGTCATTTTAAAGGCTGCAAAGGAAGGCACCTTGGATGGATTTCAAGGCAAATACTGATTTTCTGTCCTGATCATGTCCTCATCTTTGGGGAATTTGAATTTGAATTTTCAACATGGAAAGTCAGCTGCTGAGACTCTAAGAACTATGGCCTTACAACTGAGGAGACTGAACAATGTGAGGCAGTGTGGTGTAATGGATAAGACAGTAAGTCCTGGCCTCAGACTGACTTGTTTTGATGACAGGCCTGGTGCTTTTCATTTAGATAACTCTGGGCAAGGTACTTATCTGACAATGTTACTTTAGTATTAAACTGCATAATACACATGAAGTCTTCAGACATGTTCAGTGAATGGCAGAAGTTCAGTGAAGACTCTTACCCAGCCTTCAAGAGGCCCCCTTATGCAATGTGCTTCTATGACTTGTTACTGCCTTGTTGTGTTGATACTGGGCTCAAATGTGACAGCATGCTATTTAGGCTTTCTGGAAAATGGAAACAACATACCAGTATCTACCATCCTAATGATGGCATACAAATTAAAATTATGAGTATGTATGTCAAATATAAGTACACTGTACAGATACACTATTTCACACAGTGCCTGTTAATGACTAAATAACTGACAGACACACCCAGTAATTGAAATATCCTACTCAGGTGTGAATAATAGACTTTGGAGCGCTCAGGACTTGCCGATAGTGGTGATGGCAGCAACATATCTGTGGCGTTCGCAGCCCCGAGGCAGCGAGACAAGGGGGAGATCACTCCCGCTGCAATCCAGAAGATGTTGGACGAAAATAACCATCTTATTCAGTGTATAATGGACTATCAGAATAAAGGAAAGACCTCAGAGTGCTCTCAGTATCAGCAGATGTTGCACACAAACTTGGTATACCTTGCTACAATAGCAGATTCTAATCAAAATATGCAGTCACTTTTACCAGCACCACCCACACAGAATATGCCTATGGGTCCTGGAGGGATGAGTCAGAGCGGCCCTCTCCCACCTCCACGCGCTCACAACATGCCTTAAGATGGAATGGTAGGTGGGGGTCCTCCTGCACCACACATGCAGAACCAGATGAACGGCCAGATGCCTGGGCCTAACCATGTGCCTATGCAGGGATCTGGACCTAATCAACTCAATATGACAAACAGTTCCATGAATATGCCTTCAAGTAGCCATGGATCCATGGGAGGTTACAACCATTCCATGCCATCATCACAGAGCATGCCAGTACAGAATCAGATGACAATGAGTCAGGGGCAACCAATGGGAAACTATGGCCCCAGGCCAAATATGAATATGCAGCCAAACCAAGGTCCAGTGATGCATCAGCAGCCTCCTTCTCAGCAATTCAGTATGCCACAAGGAGGAGGGCAGCATTACCAAGGACAGCAGCCACCTATGGGAATGATGGGTCAAGTTAACCAAGGCAATCATATGATGGGTCAGAGACAGATTCCTCCTTATAGACCACCTCAGCAGGGGCCACCACAGCAGTACTCAGGCCAGGAAGACTATTATGGAGACCAATACAGTCATGGTGGACAAGGTCCTCCAGAAGGCATGAACCAGCAATATTATCCTGATGGTCATAATGATTACGGTTATCAGCAACCATCGTATCCTGAACAAGGCTACGATAGGCCTTATGAGGATTCCTCACAACATTATTACGACGGAGGAAATTCGCAGTATGGCCAACAGCAAGATGCTTACCAAGGGCCACCTCCACAACAAGGCTATCCACCCCAACAACAGCAGTACCCAGGGCAGCAGGGTTATCCAGGACAGCAACAGGGCTATGGTCCTTTACAGGGTGGTCCTGGTCCTCAGTATCCTAACTATCCACAGGGACAAGGTCAACAATATGGGGGTTACAGACCAACACAGCCTGGACCACCACAGCCCCCCCAGCAGAGACCTTATGGATATGACCAGGGACAGCATGGAAATTACCAACAATGAAACAGTACTTACATTCCAATAGCCAGTATCTGTTAGCAGCCATATTGTCACCTCAGCACTGTGGACACCTCCCTGTGAAAAGATCCTTTCATTCCATCTAGTTTTTGGAAAAACCTTGTGGATAAGTGGCTGTTTCATCAATAAGCAGCCTTTGTGGTTTAGTTGTAAAAGGCTTTAGTAGCTCATTTCACATTTCTACTCTCGATGGCAACATTGGACAGAAAATGTAGTGACATAACCAGTTTGCAATGATTTTGGAACTGTGTTTCAAATGGACTGTTACAGACTGAAAGGTGTGAACAGCTTTGTATGTTTATGAAGGTTAAGGGAATTTAATACTTTTCCACAGATTCTTTTGTAAGGGGAAGAGGGAAATGCACACTTTTTACAGCAGCAATATTTTGTATATTATGTTTATTTCATGTGATGAATATGCAAGGTGGTACACTGTGCACTGGACAGAATCAGAAATCCTCTGTTAATGTAGACTGGAGCATAGTAGATGCTTGATTGTTTGGGTCTCAAAATGGTGTCCTATAAAGATAAAGGTGAGAGAGGAGGCAAAGCACACCATATGTCCACTGTTAGATTCTCCTAGAGGAAATTCAAATCCCTTTTATCTCTTAGATAATGAAAGGCACTGTGGTACAGTTTTGGGTAAAAAGACATTTTTTAAAAGCCTTCCAGTTTTGTGGATTAAAACCTTTTTATAAAGACCATTTATATTACTGTTTTAAAATGTGAGGCAATAAGAATTACTTTATGTTTGATTTGAAGTATCTTTGGTAATAGCTTCATGTAAATGAAGTGGTAATCCTCTCTTAAGATAGCAGTAACTGAAAATGAAAGTGTTAATTTTACCTTGTTTGAGTAATCAGGGAACTTAGAAAATAATATCAAAACATTTTATAAATGATATCAGAGGAGAGTTAGTGTTGACCCAGGAATTTTATTTTTTAACATTCGAAGGATAATTGGTTTATATGATAAAATATTATTTCAACTTTCTTAACTGGAGATAATGCCATTTATAAAGGAACATTTTATGTTTTCCCCTTTTTTATGTTGGTTAATATAATACAGAGATGTTCAGGAAAATGCTTATTGATGAGGTTTATTCTGATTTGTATTAAAAGCATAGAGGTTGCATTATAGATCCCCTTGTTTATAAGCATGGCATAGTTAATCATTATTTGAGACTGTCCTGTGCCTGATTATTTTAGCTCAATTCAGGGATGTTACATTGGGCAGGAAAGCATGCATTGAGAAATTTCTAGCCACAGTTATTTAAGCATAATCCAAAAACATCTAGCCCAAAGGTAAGTTGCTGTTTTCATCACAGTTGCCTGTGCCCAGGGAATAAGATGTATTCTTTATAATTCAATTGATTTTTCCCACTTCTAACTGGAAACAAAATGAAGGGGGAGGGCATAAGTTTGAATAAGCAGAACATACTGTTCTCAATATGCTGTAATCAAAAGGAGGCATTTCAGCGTGTCTGTGTGAATGAGAGAGTGAATGTGTGTCTGTGTATGTGTGTTTTAAGGTCAGAATTGGTTTTCTTTCATCTTGGTCAGTGGATAACGGACATCAAGTTTGAACAGATAAAGCATAAACAGCCTTATTGTGATTGAAATGCTTATAGATTCTGTGCCAATTTTCCACTACTGTGTATTTTGTTGCTATTTAAAGCTGTATCAACTCTAATGGAAGAATAAATTATTTGTGATTTAAAAAAAAATTATAGACTTCGTGGTGGGGCAGACCTGCTTTAGAAATATCAGTTCTAGATCCTGCTGTGTGTCTCAGCTTCTTCATTTTTAACATAAGGAAATAAATGCATACCTCCTAGGTTTGTAGTGAGGATTAGATTGAATAGTGAATAGAAAACAGTCCCATTCCTGGCATACAGTACTCACTTGATAAATGGAACTCTTTAAATTATAGCTTGTAATTAAACTTTTCAAGTGAAGTAGGGATAAAGGCATATCTAAATAGCTTTATTGGGTAATATGACTCTGTATGTATCTTGTTTCTCTGGGCCTATAAATGTTATCTCCAAAATGATTACACAAGTCAGAATTATTTGCCAGGATTTATTAGTTTGCTATTCCCTGAAATAACATGATTTCCTGTGGAAGTTTCCAAGGAGAGAGAAGGGAGATGACAGCTCTCCAGTGGGCTGACACTGATCATGTGCAACAAAGTCATACAGGGGAAGCCAACTGCCAGGTGGGAGTGACACATTATGTGTCTTGGGTTCATCTTTAATTTTTGACACAATCTGGAAGAGGAAAGAAATGCATCTCAAAATAAGCATAGATGAATATAATTCACTATGAAAGGAGACAAAAAATTATCACGTTGAGCAAACACATAGCATCTTATAAATTGTCATGTTGAACAATGACTTTAATAATAGTCTTTGAATGAAATGAAGCCTTTGGAAAGATCTCTTACTTCCCCTTTAACTACCAAACTCAATTCCAAGCCTTGCTCCAGGAGCCTGGGTTTCCTGTCTGTTATTTAGAGTGGCAAGTCATTTCTGTTGCATGGCAATTTCAACTCCAGGCAGGTAGGAAAAAACTGTGTATCACTAACACATTACAATAAAGGATTTTGTAGATAATAAGAGGTCATTATCTGAATTAAATGAAGAAAGGAATCAAAAATATAAATCATTATATTCAGGTTTCTCTTCTGAAAAGCAACTATATAATTTACCATAGAAGAGCAAAAACATAAATAAGAAATTCCTGTAAGCTCTTAGCAGAACAAATATTTTTAAATGGTACAATTCAATTCATAAACAATCAGCTTGCTTTAATAATTTCAAAACAGTGATCAGTTTGCATGACCTCCTTCTAATGATCTCTAAAAATAGTAGCGACCATGTTGGAAATCCAGGTGAGTTTTTTGCCTTCTAAATCCACTAAAAACCCTAAGAAATTGAAATATTGATACTTACTGTGTTTTTGTTTAAATATGTAGGCATGCCATGATTTGCTGGACACTGCAACTGAAAGACAACACACAAGTCAATCAAAAATGAGAAAGCTGTGTTGGTGAAGGTATTCTCAGGAAATAAACAGCACTGTGATATACTATTAGAAAGACATTTAATAGAGGCATTGGATACTCATGAAATCATTCCAAGAACTGAGAAGACTCTAGGTGGGGACCGGGAATCTCAGAGAATAATGGTCTGACTGATACGGTAATGTCTTCTTCTGCCCTTAGCGCTGACATGAGGAAGCCATTGAAGTAACTGTGGCCTCCAACACTGCTCTCAAAGGCTGCAGCATTGCTGAATGGAAAACGAAACTCCAGCCTCACGCTTACTAAAATGCCTCTAGACACAAATGAAACTGAAGCCGGGACACTGGAGTGGAGCACTGGACAGAAGACCTAGCTGGATGATGATTCACATATTTCTTCCAAACACCACCTGGGAGAGTGTAATGGTGGGAATCCCATGTGCATCTGGAAAGCTACCCAGGGTGATGTGGAAGCAAAATGTTTTATTTTCTCAGTTACTGTAGGCAAGGAAGGCAGACTAAAGGAGATGGGATTAACAGACTAAGAAGTCAGTTAATTCCATGAGCAAAGTATTAACCACATGCAAAAATCCTTGTTTCGACTGATCATGCATTCCTACCATTAATCAACCCTCCTCTTTTCTTCCCAGCAACTCTCTGTGTCCTCTGTTACCTTGTATTATAATTGACCCATTCCCTCTTAGATTATTTATTTAATCCCCCCTCCATCTTCTTGTCCTGTCTTACGATGCTCTATTTACAAGGGAAGCAGCCATCATTGCAGTTCTTCCTAAGACAGGCATTCACAGACTGTAAAATCACAGTATCAGCATTCCCGTGAATTCTCATTGCATCCGTTATCCTATTGTTGTCCTAAAAAATACTGTTTCCCAACTCTGGTGATCATGAGATCTAAACACACTTTTTAATGCTTTCTCATTATTGATCTTCTGCCTACTTAGGGTTGCTAACCCCCTGAGCATGTGTACCACAGTAGTCTCTGTCCTTGATTCTGAAATATCTTTGTTAAGTTATTCATATAAATCTTTTTTTTTTTTGACAGGCAGAATGGACAGTGAGAGAGAGAAACAGAGAGAAAGGTCTTCCTTTGCTGTTGGTTCACCCTCCAATGGCCGCGGTGGCCAGCGCACCGTGCCGATCTGATGGCAGGAGCCAGGTACTTATCCTGGTCTCCCATGGGGTGCGGGCCCAAGGACTTGGGCCATCCTCCACTGCACTCCCGGGCCACAGCAGAGAGCTGGCCTGGAAGAGGGGCAACCGGGACAGAATCTGGCGCCCCGACCGGGACTAGAACCTGGTGTGCCGGCGCCACAAGGCGGAGGATTAGCCTATTGAGCCACGGCGCCGGCCCATATAAATCTTTTAAAAACACTTATTTATTTGTTAGGCAGAGTTACAGAGAGGCAGAGGCAGAGAGAGAGAGGTCTTCCATCTGCTGGTTCACATCCCAGATGGCCACAGCAGCTGGGGCTGCGCCAATCTCCAAAGCCAGGAGCCAGGAGCTTCTTCCAGCTCTCCCACACAGGTGCAGGGGCCCAAGGACTTGGGCCATCTTCTCCTGCTTTCCCAGGCCATAGCAGAGAGCTGGATCAAAAGTAGAGCAGCCTATATGGGATGCCAGTACTGCACGGGGCGGCTTTACCCGCTACGCCACAGTGCCCCCCCCACTTTGTATAAATTTCGAATGCGCTTTCTTATTGTTAGATCCATTATCTTTTCATTCCCCAACTTCAGGGTCTTTTATCACCACTGTTTCAGTAACTCTGATGTCAGATTTCTTGTTTATGGGTTGACATTTTAGTCACTGCGTGGTACAATTCTTTGTACTTTAAAACATTGTTTTTAAAATGGTATTTGGTCTGGTACAACATACCCATCCCAGATCTCTTGTGGTTACTGTAGCATGGCTTGTCTTTTTACATCCTTTCACTTTCAAACTATTTATGTGTTTGGATATGAAAAATGTGTATCTTATTAATAGTGTACAGTTAGGTCAATTTCTAAATTCATTCTGTCAATCTCTACCCTAGATTGGAGAGTTCAGTCCTTTATATTCAAAGTAATTACTGATAAGGAGAGACTTGCCTTTAAAATTTATCTATTTGTTTTTTAAACATTCTCAAATCCTTCATTTCTGCCTACTTTTGT